AAACCATGAGATTCCTATGAGAAAAGATGAGAAAACCTATGGTAAACCATCAGATTCCTTTGAGAAAAGATGAGAAAACCTATGGTTAACCATCAAAATCCTTTGAGGGAAGATGAGGAAACCACGTAGAAACCATCAAATTCCTATGAGGGAAGATTCGAAAATGAATGGTAAACCATGAGATTCCTATGAGAAAAGATAAGAAAAACCTTGATAAACATTGCAGATTTCCTATGAGCAAAGAGCGAAAAACTATGATAAACCATCAGATTCCTATTGAGGAAAGATGGAGAAAACTATGATCAACATCAGATCCATAATGGGTTTCTCATAGGAATCTGATGGTTATTCATAGGTTTTCTTTATCATAGGTTTCTCATCTTTTCTCATAGGAATCTGATGGTTTATCATAGGTTTTCTCATCTTTTCTCATAGGAATCTGATGGTTTATCATAGGTTTTCTCATCTTTTCTCATAGGCATCTGATGGTTTATCAAAGATTTTCTCATCTTTTCTCATAGGAATCTGATGGTATCTTATAAGTTTTCTCATCTTTTCTCATAGGAATCTGATTATATCTTATAAGTTTTCTCATCTTTTCTCATAGGAATCTGATCGTTTACCATAGGTTTTCTCATCTTTTCTCATAGGAATCTGATGGTTTACCATAGGTTTTCTCATCTTTTCTCATAGGAATCTGATGGTTTATCATAGATTTTCTCATCTTTTCTCATAGGAATCTGATGGTTTACCATAGGTTTTCTCATCTTTTCTCATAGGAATCTGATGGTTTACCATAGGTTTTCTCATCTTTTCTCATAGGAATCTGATGGTTTATCATAGATTTTCTCATCTTTTCTCATAGGAATCTGATGGTTTACCATAGGTTTTCTCATAGGAATCTGATAGTTTATCATAGGTTTTCTCATCTTTTCTCTTAGGAATCTGATGGTTTACGATAGGTTTTCTCATGTTTTCTCAAAGGAATCTGATGGTTTATCATAGGTTTTCTCATCTTTTCTCTTAGGAATCTGATGGTTTATCATAGGTTTTCTCATCTTTTCTCATAGGAATCTGATGGTTTATCATAGGTTTTCTCATCTTTTCCCATAGGAATCTTATGGTTTATATACCATAGGTTTTCTCATCTTTTCTCATAGGAATCTGATGGTTTATCATAAGTTTCCTCATCTTTTCTCATAGGAATCTGATGGTTTATCATACGTTTTCTCATCTTTTCTCATAGGAATCTGATGGTTTATCATAGGTTTTCTCATCTTTTCTCATAGGAATCTGATGGTTTATCATAGGTTTTCTCATCTTTTCTCATAGGAATCTGATGGTTTATCATAGGTTTTCTCATCTTTTCTCATAGGAATCTGATGGGTTACCATAGGTGTTCTCATCTTTTCTCATAGGAATCTGATGGTATCTTATAAGTTTTCTTATCTTTCCCCATAGGAATTTGATGGGTTACCATAGGTTTTCTCATGGAAATTGTAATCCGAATTAAAAAGTAAAAGGGAGTAATAGCAAATTAGTCTACCAACAATTTGGGGATCCCGGAGGGGTATGATTAATTCGGGGGTAGTGTTCCATTATTAGGGGGGGAAATCAGCACGTAGAGGACTTTAGTATTGCCCAAAAATTTCCGGTGAAAAGGGCTATGATTAATTTGGGGGTTTTATTAATCCTAACCCAACATTATATTGGATATTGGTGTCCATCGCGGTGTTCCCCTTTTAAAGCTACTGTAGCTGCCACGGCATGTTCGTGAACAGCGCATAGCTTGCCGCAAAAGTTGTGAGTTTAATGCTAGCTTACACGGATTAACATATCTTATAGTATATACATACAGAATCATACAGATATACAGATACGTTATACTATATAATAATTACACTTATACACCGCATTCTATAGCACAGTTGTCTTTGAAAAGACATGGATCACATCAGAGGTTTGGGTATGCATTTTGCAGTTGCTTGCAAAGAGTTGGCCCGGGCCTTATACAGGGCTGGGTCTGTCAGTACTGTCGCTATCTCTTGCTCTTTACGTTGCTCTTTACGTTGCTCTTTACGTTGCTCTTTACGTTGCTCTTTACGTTGCTCTTTACGTTGCTCTTTACATTGCTTTAGTTAATGCCGGCCTGTTGTCTTGACCTCCAGACTCCAAACGGTGAAAACCATTGGGAACCATTGTAAAGCATGTAACATTTTAGCCTTTAGTTGCGCTTGCCTGGTACTCACATCAAACAGTCTAAAGTACAAAGGCATGCACTCTTGGACTGCAGATATGAAGTGTTTGCTCGGTCAAGCAAGGCTTGTGACAGCAAAATGCGAAGCTATTTGAAACCATTGCATGCCATTGCAGTATTCTGCTGGCCGGGGAAGCAAGGTCTCTGACCAATTTGGCTACAAAGCTGGGAAGGACCTGCTGAAACAGCTCAACGTTTTCTTGCCTGTTTGGAAAGTTGTATATAATGTTGTAGCCAGTTTGAAGAGTGCAGTGTAGTGTAGTGCAGATGCTGTACAAGTCGCTCACCAGGTACTGTAGGTGCTTGAATGTGCTTGATTTTTCGTCCGACTCATTTCTTGAAATCCACTGCCATTTCCGTGGAGTTGGAGTGGCAAAAACTGAATTGGAGGAAGGCTTTGGACAGATGTTTGAGGATGTCTGGCAGAACCGCGAGGACTCTGGACATCTCTGAACATTCAAACCAGCCACTCCTGGCAGCAATTTTTGAGTTTCTGACGATGTCAAGACCCTGTTTGATTCCTGGGCCTTCTCCCGGTACTTGGCAAGTCACACTCCCAATTTTTTATGCAACGAGGACCCGATGGTGGCGAAGTTGGCGGAAGACTGCGAACATTTGATGCGTGTTCCGCTTGGGCAGCGGTCTCAACTTGAAGAGAACTGAACAAAATGAACAAAATTGCATTGACATGCCACAACAGTGCCACACACATGTCAAATTTTGATGTCAGTTTCTCAGGGTGATGGGAGCCAGGTCTTGGTTTGGTTTCATTCAGAATGACACAGCAATTGCAAGTCCGATAACTGGGCTTGGTAGGCAGGGAAGCATGATGAAGCATGGAGATGTTGTGACAAACCCGTCGGAGCCGAAACTATACAAATTGATATCAAATTGATGTAAGAAAATTCAGACAGGAAGAATGTGCCCCTACAACGTCTTGAGTTTGCAGTCTGTATGTACAGCAAACCTCAACAAGCAATTTCCTATTTTTTTTTTCCTCCTGTTCGTCCACAACATTCGGATCAGGTTGGTCACACTCCCAGTTGACGAGGCACGGTTTTACCGGTAGGTCAATCTGATGAAGATGCTTCACAATCGGTGAAGAACATTCGTGTACTGAACTTAACTGCACAACCTCTTTGAGATTCTAAATCCACTCAGTATGGCACGTCTAGAATTGGTGAAGGAACATTGTTCGGAAAGATTAATGAATGGTGTTTGGAGATGATTTGGAGATGTTTCGAAGAGTGTTCCTGCCTCTACCTTGCTCTCTCGTTTGTTCCTGATGGTTTCGAAGCCACAGTTGATTACCAAAAGCCTACCATCATTGATCTAATTGAATCCCCTTGAGATTTCTTTTCCCATGTTTTTCGTATGGTTTGAATTCAAAACGTGCAGGTATCTCCAGAGAGTCACTCTGAGGAGGCCAGCCTTATGATTGCAAGCATACGCAAGCATGAGGTCTTCTAGAGGTAAGCTTTGATAGAGAAAGGTTGGATAGGGATGGATGGGAACATTTTCATAGAGAAGCGGGAGAGAAGTTGGATAGAGGTAGATTTGATAGAAAAGCTGGATGGTAAAAAGCTTGATGAAGATAAGTTTGATAGAAGTAAGTTGTAGTAGGTTTGATACAGAAAAGATATCAGAAAAGTCTGGTTAGCAGAGATCGAGATAAGTTACAAGTTTGGTAGAGGAGGTCCGTTTAATACAGAGAATAAGTTTGATTCTTGATGCTGTTAATTTTGATTGCGATTAGTCTGGCAGTACTGAGTTTGATAAAGACAAGTCTAAGTTTGACAGAGGTAAGTCTGATAGTGCCAAGTTTGATAGAGGTAAGTCTGGTAGAGGTAAGCTTGGTAGAGACAAGGGTGATGTGATAAGGGTTATGAAGATTGATTGGATGGAATAAACACAAGGAGACACAGGATTGGAAACAGCCCTGCAAGCCACAAGCCTCAAAAGAAAAGGACGTATCTTCATCCATAGACCGCAGACGCCTGGCATGGATGCTGCACAGGTGGAGATCAGAGTAGAACTCAGCGATTTGCGGAGACTTCCAGATGGAGACGCCGCTCCAGCTTGTTGACTTTCGGGGAGAATTCTATGTCATTTTTGCTGATAAATATCGATTCCAGGTTCAATCAACTGGTAAGTCTTGGACCTTTGCAAGTTGAGGCTTCCAGCCCTTGTGTAACAGGTGTCCGTGAAAGTCAGGAGGACAGCCACAATGCAAGAGGCAGCGGAGAGCGGAGTGGGAATTCTGTTTCACCATACTCACATTCTCATCATTCTCATTGTGACGGATGAGAAGTGTCACAGCAGGTGAGAGCAGCGGTTGCTTGGCAGATCTTGACGACGAAGGCCGATGGTCCCGTGATGCTTTGAAATTCTTGTACGACAGGAATGGCATCAAACTGTTTGCTTGAAACCTATCACATCCTGTCACTTTGCGTAGTTTCAAGGCCGAAGCTGTACTGCCGACTGCCCCAGAAGTTTCAGAGGTGCAGAGTGATAATTTACCGCCTTGGCTGACGGTGACCTCTCTGCTTGCTTTCGATGGGAAGGTTTCCTGACTTGAAGCAACATAAAACAAAGCTGACACGACATTGACATGTTTTGTTCTAGTGGGAGAAATAGAGCACAAAAACTCCCTGCCTGTTCCACTCCAAACACCGTCGTGACGTGTTGTGACTGCAGCTGACTAGTCTCAAGGGTAGAGGTTGGACCCCGGGTGCTTGAGCCAATGGCCTTGGTCGTGGCCCAAACTCTCTGTATTCTGAAACGGATCTCGTGAGTACTTTGAGTATTAATGTTGATTAAATACTTGAAAATACCCCATGTCAAATGTACTTGATGTGCTAAATATGATGTACTACTTGATGTAACGTAGTACTTGACGGGCAAATCAAGTAGGCCACGCTGCCTTGCAATGTCTCTGCCTTGACACTGGCACTGCACTGATCGTTACTCGAATTTATTCGAATTCCAAGGCAGTTCGCCAGCCTGGCACTGATCGCTCTCAGAGTGTCCAGCAAGGATTTACCAGGCAATTCAAGACTTCTGGAATCTTTTGGACATCTTTGGACCTACACTCCAACTCACTGTGGTCTGAAAGGTGCATGATGCAACACAAAGGAATCAAACCAATCACAAGAGAAACCATCATATAAATTTCATGGTTGAAAGTCCTGCTCTTATTGGCTGTCGAAATTCGTTTTTGCAGTCCCCTTGCTTGCAATAGTCACCCTCTTGATGGCTCTAACCTCGCACCTCACGTATAGATTATTGCAAAAGGATGCCAAAAGACATGAAAAGAGCTCTTTACGCACCTCTCTTTGTGCCCGTTTTGAGTAGATCCCGCACTGATTGACAGAGTGAACAGTCACTCAACATATGATACTCATCAGTCATCAGTGACTCATCTCTTTTGGTGTTCTGATGCCTTCAGCGATCTGTTAAATGCAGGGAGGGGCTTTCCTATGAGCTAAGCTCGAAGACCGATGAACAAAAGGCAGTCACTGCGAGTCGCAACAGTCTCCTATTTGTGGCAGCATTGAGAAACTCGAGAAGCCTGCAAGTAGCTGCATGTTCTGCGCGATTTAAGTGTGACAAACCATGGCAAGCTGCATGGAGGCACTTGCGATCACTGAACTGGCTGCCAAGGCTTCTTTGTATTATATCCTGCTTTGATCTTTGCAAGTCTTTGAAACCATTTGAACCATGTGCACTTGTGTCACCAGAAATTCTGGAACAACGTCTTGATAAATCTTGACATGTTGGCACTGATGGCTATACTCCGTTCTGAACACTATTTAGGGGGAATCCTTTGTGACCACTCACCTGGCTGCGAACTTAGAAGAGATGTTTGGTATTGTTTGGTATTGTTTGGTTTTTCGTGGAGTTTTGACGTCATCAGGGCTATGCAACAGGTGCAGGACACCACCAGAGATCGCGAGATGCCGCAGCCCACTTCCCAAGGACCACCTGATTGCAGAACTACGACGGAGCTACAGTCCAGATGTGAAGGAAGCAGCGGGCAACTCAGAAACAGTGCCAGGTCTCTGCCACCGCACCTCTTGACGCGTTGAAGCACTCCTGCAGCCGTCCGTCCCACTCCATTCAAACATGCTTAATAAATCGTATACCAGTAGTACCGCACAAGGCGGTGGCTGAAGTTTCAAAAATAGGAAACCTATAGGAGAGGTTGGTTGTCGTCAATCACGGATGGCAGAGCGAATCCACTGATGGACCGAAAGGTGGTTGGAGTTGTGTTTTTTGGAGTTGCTGCAATGGTTGCAGTGGCAACCTCACCAACAACTGCTGGATGTAGTGTGGTGTAGTGCAACTGTAGTTGTAGTGTAGTGGAGTTGTAGTTGTAGTGTGGTGTAATTAGTGTAGTGTAGTTGCAGTTGTAGCTGTGGTGTCGTGTAATGGGTGTAGTGTAGGGTAATGCGAGACTTCCTCAGTCTTCTACGATGACAACATCAAAAACGAGAAAATTCTGAGAGACTTCAACTTCCTTCAAAAATGGCAAATCTGACTGCCTCCTACCAAATGCGTTTTGCGATTTTTCCACTCCTTCTGTGTAAAGTGCTGCGCCTGCCACGAAAAAGTGATGCCAGGTCATACGAAGTGCCGCAACTGTCACGCAAAATCATCTTAGCAAACCTGACGATTTGATGCTCCAAAGTGCAACCCCTCTCAGGAAATCAGCGCCCTGACCTCCTAACATCTCTGATGAACATGTCTCTTGTACTGCGCATGCCACACGAAATGCATCTTTGAGATCCTCTTCAAATGTCCCACACCTGCCATCGTTTTTGGAAATGCTACAAAAACCTTCACGTTTTGCTCACTTTTGGCAAGGTGCAGAATCCCTTGCGCCTGCCACGCAAAACCACATCTGAACCTTCAAAAGTGGTCCGAGCATGTGGTGCTTTTAACATTTTGATGTGGAAATGTGCTTCGCGCCACAACGGCGTGCACTTTTTTCGACATCTCAACTTCCAAAAGTGTTCTGAGAATGGTGTGTTTTTAACATTTTGACTTGGAAATGTGCTTCGCGCCACAACGGCGTGCACTTTTTCGACATCTCAACTTCCACAAGTGCTCCGAACCTAGTGTGCTTTGTACATTTTCAGTTGGAAATGTGCTTCGTGCCACAACGGCGTGCACTTTTTCGACATCTCAACTTCCAAAAGTTGTCCGACACTGAGGTGTTTTGATGTGTTTTGTACGTTTTGTAAATTTTTATTTGGAAATGTGCTTCGCGCCGCAACGGCGTGCACTTTTTCGACATCTCAACTTCCAAAAGTTGTCCGACACTGAGGTGTTTTGACGTGTTTTGTACGCTTTGTAAATTTTGATTTGGAAATGTGCTTCGCGCCGCAACGGCGTGCACTTTTTCGACACCTCAACTTCCAGAAGCGCTCCGATAACGGTGTGCTTTGTACATTTTGAGTTCGACAGGTGCTTCGCGCCACAACAGCGTGCAATTTTTCATCTCTCATCTGGCCAGATGGCTCCGCACCCGTCGCTTTAGAGAGCCTACTTTTCGATCCTCCGAAGCCGCAAATCCTTGGAAAAACAGAATGAATCGCGACTTTTCTATCTTTTCGCGCACCTGCATCTTCTTTCCTCTGACTCTTTCTCTTCTCTGACTCTTCCCACCTCTGCTTGTCCATCTGTCCATATTGTCGGAAGTTTGACTTCTAAACTTCCTGCGGTAAATCGCAACAACATTCTACACGTCACCTCCTTTCATGCTTCTTGGAGCAAGCAGGTGTGCAAGAGCGTCATGGCAGCCGGTGCATCGGCAGCTCCTTTCTACCACGTGCAGGGCTCACATTGCTTCTTGTACTTCAGTCGCGCTGCATACCTGTTGAGATTTTCCTTGTGATGATGATGATGATGACGACGACGACGACGATGATAAAAGCAGACATAGAAGCAGCATTGAGCAAAATGTCATTGACAGGACTTGGCCAACTTGATTGAGGACAATGACCCACAGGCATGATATCCTGGTGTATACTGTAGCTGATGTAGCTGCGTTGCTGTAGCTGGGAGTGAGGTAAATGAAACCAGTGAGTGCTTTGCATGTGCCACACTATGTCACATTGTAATTTCTTTGTAACTGCTGATGTTGTGATCGTTGTGCTTTGACACATCCTTTGCCAGGTGAAGTATTGGGGGTGCCTGGCCATTGGATCCATCGGGAATGCGGCCTCAGGCCGAAACGGGCAAATGGGGATGCATCAGAAAGTTATGCCCTTGTGCATCCTTCTGCTATCTGGTGCTATCTGATATCTTGTGCTACAGAGTGCTACATGATTACAGTATCGATTGATATCGATTGGTACCACTGAGGTGTAAACAAGTTTCCATGCGAAAGGGTTTGTGGTCTAGAGTGCCCTTGTTATCCTTGGTGTAGAGACCTTGTGGGCGGCGTAAAGTCATGCAAAGTCGCTCTGTACTAGTTTTTCAATGTTTGCAGCGTGAATGGGTCTTGGTGTGAAGCATTTGTTGTAAAAAGGTCTTAGTCCAAAACGGCATTTATGGAAGATATTCTTGGCGAAAAGGGTTAGATCCTGTAAACCCTCCTAACATTTTTCTTACATTTTCTTACCGTGTACCTGAGTTTACTTGCTTTCCTATTTTTTGTTTCTGTTTTTTCCTTAGGCACATGTGGGATTTCCGGTTCTTTGATTTTCTGTTTTGAGGGTGCGCACCTTGAGTTGTGAACCGCAATTTTTGATATTTTTTCAATGCTTTCCCGAGACTTCCCTCTTTATTCTTGAGGGTGTCCCTGCAGGATCAAAGAGCAGGATTCGCAGTCTACTTCAGGATCCTTCTGAAGCAGTCAGATTCGGCGCATGTTCAGCCCTGGGCGGGATAGAGGCTCATTTGATGCTGATGTTTCTTCGAATAGCAAGCCCTTAGCAAGCTCAGTGTTCGTTGATTTTTATATTTTAACGATTGTTCTGCTTTGCAGGCTGAAGACTGCGCAAAAGACCTGAAAGAAAAACTGAGCGTTTTAGTCTTAGTCGAAGATGATCACTTGAGCCAGGTCGGTTGTGATTGAGAATGGTCACGCTGTCTTGCAATTGAAAATGGGAAAGCCTAGCTGTCAACATGAATGAGGACGCTTCCCCAGAAGTTCAAGGCGCTGCTTGTCTAGCGCTGGCGTCCCTTTGGCATGTTTACGATTGTTTACGCATGTCTTTGGCATTTTATTGAAGTGAGACGGAAGATGCCTGGAGGTGTGGAGGTGTTTAATGCTGTGCACCGCCAGGAAAGTTGGCGCAGTGGGTGCGCCCTTTGCACCAATTGTAGCGCGAAAGTGAGGAGCCCCAGCAAGCATGGCAGCCACAGATTTGGCTCCAGGATGCTTGAGGAAAAGTTGGGGTAACTTGTGGCATGTTGTGGCTTGTTTTTGGTGGCTCCAGGATGTTCCAGTTCGTGAAAATAGAATAAAATAGAGACATTTCACTCACTGCAGTCTGCTAGAAAGCTCGGGTCAGATTTACATAGACTTACTGGCTTGAGAAAGCTCCAGTGATCCTTAAATTTTGATAAAATGGTTGATATCTCGTCAGCCACATCTATCCGTGTCTTGATGTACTGTACTAGGTTTCTGGGAGGGCTTGATAAAAAGCTACGATGAAAACACAAAGGAGGCTGAAGAAGTTGTTGAGGTAGACTCACATATGACAATGCTATGTTTCTGTTCTTCATTTGATTATATATTTGTTTATTTACATTGTTCTTTATATATAGACGTATAATTATTCAGGATTGTATATATATATATATGTATATCTTCATTCATCTCTTTTCATCTGTCCTTGATCAAACAAGCGAAAGTCAAGGCTTGCGGAGCCGCGATCACGAGCAAACGCTCTGAAAGCACTTGGCCTCATGGGGATAGAAGGCTCAGCGGACTCATATGGGCTCTGCCTGCTGGATCGCATGAAAGGTCGGAGGATAGAAAAGGAAACAGATGGAGACCGAAAAGATTGCACTATATTAGTACGAATAATATGACAGCATCTGGAATCAATCATCTGCAATCCGTGCTGAAAGTGCATGTGCGCTGTGACATACATGACATGCAAGAGTGTAAGTTCATCGCCAGGCGGAAAGCATTGTAAAGAGGTAGTGGAGTGCTTGTGCGATGATGACTCCGAAACGCGGGCTATAGCAGCCTCTGTTGTCTGGCTGGCTGTTTGCAAAGGCATTTTGAGATATATACTTCAATGCATGTTCATGCAGCAGTAGCAGCAGCAGCAGCAGCCGCAGCAGCAGCAGCCATGCCGATTCATGCCAGCCTACAACTTTCCAACCTTTCTGTAAGACTTTCAGGATCCTCCTCTGCCTCAACCTCATTTTGATAATTATCGCACGGCGACATTCAATATGCCGGTCTCAGCATTTGCACTAGGTCAAATGAAAGCACTACCAGTATTTACATCTATTTACTATTCGGCGGAAAGCAGGCTTTGTTCAGGATCCATCATTGACACGAAAAGGTGACAGCGTCACGGCATTGGAAAACCAGGTCAACGCCAGCAACACTTTTCTTGTACGGGGGACTCCTTTGATCTTGGTTCCTTCCCACAAATCCACAAAATAAAAGTCGTTGCTCTAAATTTAGCATCTTAGCGAGAAGATATGAGAATTGCCATGCCCAAAGCGGTCAAAACAAATCCAAGAGTTCTCTCATGTCAGAGGGTCGTCTCCAGTTCTGCATGCAATTCCTGAAAGACAAATAATGCTGCAAAACCTGAAAGGATCTTTGAACAAGTTCCTTTCGGCGTCTTTTGGCAGGTTTTGGCAGGTTTGGATCCTTGGGCGGAAGGAATGCAGATAAATACATCGATGAATCCGTTCGAAACCCCAATAATATCCCATTCGCCGCAAGGAACGAAAGGAGTGCATACAAGGCAGAACATCAAAGACCATGCATTGACAAGTCGACAGGTACAGAGATAAACACGAAATGGTCAGTGACAAACATGTTTCATCCGTCCTGCATTAGAGACATCTACAGTAACTGTTGAGTTCAAAGAAAGTTCTCCTGCCTGCGGAGCTACTGGTAACATGTACAGTATTGGGTAAAATCGTATCATCACATAGCCCTGTGCCACAGGAGCCTCACCTGCAAATGCGACAGGATTCAAGTTTTTGTTGCCGCATTGTGCACTTAGAGTGCTCTTTCTAGGGTCCCTGACAATGCATTCTTTTGATTACTGTAGAACTGTAGAACATATTAGAACATGTCAGATCTCCCCACATGGCAGGTTGGCAAGATGTCTGATTATGTCAGAGATGTGCCTCGGTATTTCATGATGCAGTGCAAGACACGTTCTTTGAATACTTTATGTCGTTTTATATCCGTGCCGTTCATTTCTCAAACCATTTCCACATCAGATGGTGTGGTCGCTGCTGTGCAGACTCCCAATGCTCTCAATCGAATCCTCGAAATTGCCAGAGATGAGGAGACTTTACTGAACATGGCAGTATGATTCATGTGGGACATTGTAAGGCTTCAATTAATTTGAGGAGAGGTGCAACAAAAAGATTCATTTAAAATGCAATCCTTTCCTCTTGCTTGATTGAAGGATGGAAGAAAGCGCATCGCAGCTACATTGGCCCTCGGTGACAGCCCTATTTTTAGTTCATCCAGCTGAAGAGTACGAAGAGTACGAAGAGTTGACAAAACATGCTGTGAGTTGCTGTGAGTTGCTGTGAGTTGCTGTGAGTTGCTGTGAGTTGCTGTGAGGCTATATGGGCCGGGAGGCATCAGTGCACAAAGAGCTGATCCAGGCAAGTTGTTTCGGGGCAGCTCCGGCATCTCGGCAATCTCTTGCACAATTTGACATCACCAACTCACCAAATCTCACTTAACATATCTTAACATCACTAATAGTGTCACTAACATTCACTAACATTCCAAATTTTCCATTGCCTTGCCTTATTTATCTTATTTGCCTTCCTCTTTCACAAAGGGATTTGCAGCGTTCTCCGCTCCCTCCAGGATGGCCTCTTCGACGACTTTGAAGAAGATGCTGACAATGCTTTGACGCAAGGTTGTTTGAATTTGTTTGATCCTTTCACTGAGAGGAATGGAGCAACGAGAGACTCAAGATCTACTTAAGGCATCATAAGGCACCAGTTGAATGAAGACTCTCATTCTCTGCAGGTGGCTGCAGCACTCGGATGCCTCCTTCTTGCAGAAAAGCTAAGTGTGCGGCAAGTGCCCCTTGGAACTGCACCGAGATTTGCGTTCATCCTTCTCAAGGCTTTCCAGATATTCAACTAGTTTCAACTAGCTAGGCAAAAGTTGCCGCATTTTGAGAGGAATAGGTTGTAGTATGTTGTAGTATGTTGTAGTATGTTGTAGTATGTTGTAGTAGTGCCAGAGAAACTGCTGGTGCAAAGCACACAAGGCTGCACTTGGCCGCATCGCAGCAGAAGATCAGGGTTTTGGATGGGAGACAGCAGCTGCGCAAGTTGCAAGGCCAGTGAATTGGGAAAAAACGAGTCGAACCGAAGCGGGCTCGTTGAGTGGCTGTATCATGTTGTATCTTGGAAGATGTCTTTGAGTGTTTTTGACTTGTAATGCCGACTGGGCTGACTTTGAATTTCTGCTAGTCACCTCCTTGCTCACAATTTAATTAATGCCATGGCGTGACAAAGAAATCGTAAGATATGGCAAGTATTTCTGGAAGCAGAGACGACATCTCAGCATGACAGGCTTCTTGACGACGATGACTGGGAAGTGAAGACTTGCGCGCTAGATTGCCTTTCCGCACTAGGTCCACGGAAGGGGTGTGTGTCAAGTTGACTCGTTACATTACATGACATGTTATGTAGCTTGGGTCCCTTTAGGCTTAGACTCAGACAGCACATGCCTTTCAAATCCTTCCAAAAAGTTGTGGAATTCACATTGGATTCACAGGCCCTTAGACACTTTTGGATGCTTGTCTCCTGCTCGGCCAGGTCCGAGAGCTCGTGATCATGTTGACAAGGTTCCTTGGAGTTCCTCTAGCTTTACTCATTACTCTCAAGCTGTAGTAGAAAATACATGAAAAATCATGAAAATACAAACATATCAAACATTTGATAATCCTGAGCTGAACTCGAAATACTGGAGCTACTCGAAGCTCTGCAGATGCACTTAGACGATGACCTGCTGTGTGCTGAACATGAAGTCTTCCAACATTGACTATCTTCTGCCATCTTCCGCCCACACCAAACATGGCAGATTTGTGGCGTGAGATGCCTGGAGTCTATCCGCATCATTCTGCATCATTCCGCATCCAGGTCAGTGGTCAACTTGCAGATGAGATTTTTATCGTGCGTGCAAAGGCAGGAAGGATCAGGGAGGAACTTGTCAAGAAAATACATGAACAATCTGTAACAATCTGTAGCATACTTCCAAAATCTTCCAATATCTTCCATGTCTGCGGCAAATGGACGAACATGGAAGGTTTTCCCGCCTTTTCCTGTGCAAACAAACCTATTTGTACTTGCCCTAGCTTGTCATGGCTGCATTGGATTTGTATACAAGAGGAAATACTAGACTGCCTGAGCAATGGGCTATGAGCGATTGGGCAAGAGGGTGCGAAGTGTGCGGAGTGCCTAATGAGGACCTTCATACGCGTATGTATGTATATAGCACATTTTTTGGGTATGTGAAGTTTCGGTTCAACAAATAATTCTGCGAATTCAATTTCAGCGCCTGCACCACCCTCCCAAATCCTCAAAATGGAACGTATTAGAACATATTTGTAACTGGTTTCAAGATATTCTTTGATTTGGGCACATGTTTGCATGTTTTTGCGTGCATTTGCCTTCCGATTTCTGCGCGTCTTTGCAAGTGGAGCTCGCCCAGCCATCAAGAGGAGCGCATTTTTAATTTAGAGATGTTTTTTTTTCTCAAGGGGTGCGTGTTGATGCAACAACGCAATTTGAGTTGCAAACTTGAATTGCACACTGACATGTTTTTGACGTTTGAAGGTGCAGGTATATTTTATCAACATATTTTTTTAAATATACTAGGATATTACAGACATGAACATCACTGTCTGTATGTGTATGTCACGGTCATATGTTTAGATATGTTTAGTGTATTTTATTGCACCGTAATTCAACCAATTTTGGAAGTTCCATGTCAGTTAGTTTGCAATTGTCAAACCCTGGTGGAGCTCCAATATCTTGGCCGCGCAAGTGTTCGCCGAGATTTCGGATGTTCGCGGTTCCCCGCTTCTCACTACCCCTTGCCAGCCTGGACTAGCAGCAGCCATGAATTTGGGAAAGGCTGATCAGACTAAGAACATGTAAGAATCACAAAGTAATCAATTTGTGGAATAAGTTTGTCATTGAAGATGCAAGACTAGGATAGCATTTACATATCGTACCAAGTATCGCTCATGTAGTCTCACCCCTATGAGACCATTCAGCTGCAAGCTTGCAAATAACAGGGCCAGCAGCCATAACGAGATACGGCAGGAAGATCCAGTGATTTATATTACCGGCAATTAGATCATCTTTCTATTCTTGTTAGCAAGATTCAATTGAACTCTAATGCCACGGCCTTGGCTTTGAGCTTAAGTGTGGGCATGTTGCAATGTTTGACAGGCTGCTTCTGCATTGGCAAAGATCGGTGATGTGGAGAGTGTTAGTCTGAACAAGATGGCAGATCTGCTTGAGGACGCTCACACTCAAAGAAGCGTTCTACTTGGCATGCTAATCTTGCTAACGCGTGAGATTTGGTGTTGCCAAAGCGTCAAAGCGTTGTGTAGAGCAAGACCGAACTTGCTAGTGCAATCTAGTGCACGTGTCCCATCAAATTCTCACATGCACAGCGAAGGACAGCTGTCCAGCAGTGAAATCTGCTGCTGCTCTCGGTTTGGCTGAGTTCCTGCCTTGGACGCTGATTTGGCTGTTGGGACACATTCGGACTTATTCACAGAACTTCAGTCGGTGTGAGATGACATGTCTTTGCTGAAATTCAAGGCTTGGTCACTCAGAGCATCTCAGAGCATTCATCCAATGAGGCTTGGTGATGATGGTGCGGAGTATAGCCATAAGGCCGCAGCTTTCAAGTCCAGACATGGACGGAATGTTCACCCAAGCAGTGCCCAGTGAAAAAATATGGTATATATACTGTATATATATATTAAGTTATGAAGACTTGATCCTGATGCAGAGGCAGGCACGTGAACCTTGGGTGTTGTGGATCTTGCTTCAAGCCCCACACTCTGTCACTTTTTTGCCCATGATTCATGTTCCATGATACAGTACTGTGTAGTTGTACTGTAGCTGCTTAGGCGCAAGGCCTTGGTTAATTCCGGGGGCTGCAGGGAGGGACACGATGTGTTGCAGGTGTTCAATTTGCTCACGGACATCAGCGCTGATGTTCGAGCAGCAGCAGTCACGGCATTGTCCAGAATGCGGGACAGAGGCTGACGCTTCCGTGGGGCGAAAGCAAAGTAGCTCTACAAACAACTGATATGCCCCGCTCCAACAGAGTTGTCGGATCCAAAATCAAACGATTCAAAAGGCCAGCTACAGAGGTAACTGCAAACCAGAAGACAACGAAGAAGGTGAATGATGAAGATGTCGATGACCATGATCATGATCATGGCCATCCTCTAATCGACCTGTTTTGTCTGATTGCACGGAGTATTTGGAATACTAGAATGAGAAACATTATATAAATGAGGAGACTCCCTTTTCGGTAGAAGGAGACGCGAGCCAAAGCTTTGCAAAACAAGACTCCTTTTGGGATTGTGATTCCCGGCCGGAAGCCAATTAAAGTAGCAATTTATATACTGCACCGCACGTTTATTATTCATGTTTATTCTGTAAAATGCGTACGATTCCTTCAGGATGGACTTCTTGCAACCGCTCTATGGAAGCCTGGCAGGCCCGTATTTTGCCTCAGTTATCGCTCAGCGACTTCGAGAGCAAGAAGAGCCAAGAGTGAGGATTGCAGTCCCGGGCTCAATGGCTAGACTCGTTCGTCACTGCCTCTAAACATCTCTAAACTTTATACTCTTTATACAATTTTATACATCCAATCTGATTTTGAAACATTTCATACAACATATTGTGCCATATTGTGTCACCTCTGTATGTTCTCTTCAACTTGTGCTTTACATTGCTTGATGCTTTACTGTTTCTTGTATGCTCCTGTGAAATCACTGGGCCTTGGAGAACCCTAACACTTCGGACTGGAAAAGCCCAATGAAACATGGCACTGTGTCAGGCTATAGAAGCCCTCTCGGCTTTGGAGGCAGATCCAACATGATCCAACGTGCAGATTTCGACATGGCCCCAGCATTGCCCCTGCTTTAGAAACTTTAGGCTTCTTTTAATTTCTTTTAAATCTCTTTCCTGTGCGTTGCAATCCTTTGGCTGATCCGGAAATCCTGGCTCCTTCCCCAACCATGCAATTCATTGCAATTCTATAAGAAGTTTCTTACCCTCTCTTGTTTGCTTCTAAGTGTCATATGTTGCTCGTTGGGGAGGAGCGGGCAATGAGCTTCATGGACCTTATCAGAGAGCAGCAACGGGAGCGAATTTGCAAGCAATGCTTGCGCAGAGTGATTCTTTCGTGTGACCATACATGACATGATTATACACTATCATACATGTATTGTATAGGTTTTTAGTATGTGGTTTTGGAGGATCGGAAGTGCCAGGGTTGAAGCCTATCCATTGTTTATCTTGCAGGATGAAGTGCCGAGTGTGCGGGAAGCTGCTCAGAAGTGCACGTCTGGCAGAAATTTTGCATGGGCCAGGTCTTGAAATGTCTTGAATACAAGGGAAATGGAAGGGAAAACAAGGAAAGATAAGATAAGGAAAGATAAGAAAGAGAAGGAACGATATGACAGAGGTTTCAGCAGCCGTTTCAATCTGACCTGCCACTCCCAGCAATACAAATCAACACAAATCAAGGTCTTTTCGGTGCATTGCGAAAGATATCTCAGCCCCGAGGTCTTGGCTCTTGAAATGTTCTTCAAACATATTTTTTCAATCGCTTCAATGTCCAAGTAAATAATAGGCAACAAAAATAGGCCACAATAGGCCACACTAGGCCACAATGCATCTCATACGCGTATGTTTTGATTTTTTGGTCATGCCATGCCAGGTTTGGAAAGACTGGGGCAGCCTGGTGGCTATCGAGATGCTTTGCAGGTGATTCCGCAAGCTTGAAGTGTGGGAAAGCACAATAGATCACGCTTCATATCTAGAGTGTCTTAGTTTGTCTCAGATTGTTCAATGATTTTGGAAGAACTCAGTTTCGTGTTAAAAGCAACTTTGTAACTCTTTGTAGTGTAGTGGGTTCTTGTGGAATCATGCAGTCCTTGCTTGCAAACCAGTTCCTACCAGGACCGTGGTGATGAAGAATGAATGAGCACCCAAGTTTCACAAGTCTGCAGCGAATCGCGTTGGCACAATGTTATACAATATATTACAATCTAATGTTACAAAATGTTACACCTTTTTACAGTGACTGTACAATCTGATACCACTCATCAGATACATTGTATTTCAATCAATTGCATTCAATTGCGTCATGATCACACGCAGCAGAAGAAACCTATTTTTGGATAGATGGAACAGAGGTAGGTAGATTCAGCTTGCTAACTCAGTCAGTTTACTGCACACAACCCCAGTGGTCCCACTATTCTTCGCATTTGCGTGAAAAGAGCCTGCCTGCAGTTCTGGTTGCTGCAATGTTCTCCGCTCGGTTTCATCCCGTATCGACGTGTTGATGCAATTTCAATTTATTTTCGCACAGGTAGGAGAATGTAGAAGTCTGCATTCAGCAGTTTGCTTTGTACAAAGCGAGGAGTGACAAGACCGGTACTTGCAGCCTGGACAGGTTGCATCCATTGGTATGATGGCAGCAACAATCGGAGACTCTGTAGCTGTAGACCTGCTCACGTCGGCACCTGAACCTGCAGATGTCCTTCCGGACGATGTTCCAATATGTTCCGATATGCTGATAATATGTTCACTATATGTACTATATATTATATAATTATATATAATTCTATATGATTGTTTTCACTCTTGAGAGCCAATTGAACTCGCCTTTCCAATCATCCCAAGGGATGATGCGCAGATTGAAGATCGAAGAAGGACCAACGGGAAGTTGGAACTGGAGACCCGCCACAGAGTAGGGCCCAAACATATCCAAATATGGTAAAATTGATTAAAATTGCACTTTAAGACTGCTGGGGTGACGAAATGTGGGAAGCCCGTGGGGAAGAAACCGGTTTTTGAAACCGGTTTTTGATGGTTTTTGCAGGTTCCTGTGGGTAAGTGGAGATTTGGCAGCAGAGCTGTTGCCAGATGTGGGTGCCTTAGGTGCCCCTGGCTGATAGGGACTCACCTGACAATTTGATACAGTTCTGTTCACGAAACAGATGATGGAAACTTGTTGGATTCCACTACTGTGCACAGTCCTCTTTTGCAAGTCTTCAGTCTTCATCACTTAGGATTCGGACCTGGACTATCTCTTTCCAAATGCAGTCGTTGACCAGGTCTCCGCCGTTCAGGAGGGCTTTCAAAAACGGTCAAATTGTTCAAAAAGAATCACATTTGTCATGTCTGAACAATTTGAAAGTGCTTGACATATCTTGTCATCGTTTTGGCGCTTGTGTTGTCTCTGTCTTCCACGCCTTGTCTGAATGGATGCTCGCACAGCAGAGGAGGATGAGGAGGTGGTTGTTCCACAGGACAGGTTTCACATCTTTCCACGAGGTTTCAGATACGACCATTCGTCAAACCTTGCTACAGTTTCTAAAGTGCTAAAGTATGGCAAAGACAATCAGCATCAATCAGCAAACCTCGCTTTCAATGGTGAGGTGCGTACTTCTAACCGGAAACTGCGACTATCGAAGCATGAATTTCTTGTAGTCTTTGAATAAGGATGGCCTCCAAACGTACCAAAGCTATGCCAGTATGAATGAACACACATGGAGCAAGGAGAAAACGGAGCAGAAGACGCAGGAGTTGACAGAGGACCAGAATGAGAAGGATCAGAAGGAGAGTGAGCAGACGGAGCAGACGGAGCAGACGGAGAAGGGGCAGATGGATCAGATGGAGAAGATGGAAGAGGAGCAGATAGAAGGGTCGGAGGAGTCGAAGGAGTCGAAGGAGTCGAAGGAGTCGAAGGAAGAAAGGGAGAAATCTAACAACTTGGAGGAGACTCGCGCAGACGCTGAAGTGGAGGTGAAATCTGCAGAGGACGCGAAATCTGTGGAGGACGTGGAATCTGTCGAGGACGTGGAATCTGTCGAAGACGTGGAATCTGTCGAGGACGTGGAATCTGTTCAAGATGAGGGAAAGATGGAGGCAGTACGACCGCTGGGCAGTGCTGAAGTTGTTTGTTTTTATGTTCGAGCCAGATCATCCAGATCCTGACTTGGAAAACCGCATTCCATTTTGCTGTTTTCTGGAGCACTGCACACAATCGTGTTCCAGTCAAAGCAGATGATGGCTTTTGTTGAACTGGATTTGGTTCAAGGCCAGTCAGAGTGAGTTGGATGACCCCGGCCTCTCAAGTACTGCAGTGAAACAGGAGGCTACGAACGGTATGGTGGCAGACCCATGGGGATTGTATGTGTATGTCTATGTGGTTATCAGCATGCTTTGGCATCAAAGTTGCTGGAACAGCAAGCTCGTACACTTTGGACTGAGAACATTCAAGTATGAGCATCATGACTATGTAGAATCTAGAATCTAGAAGGACACAGACTTGTACACGGCTTATGAAAAGGTATGAGAGATTATGATACTGTAATTTCGAGAGCTGCAGCATTCTTTTCCTAGCCGCAGTGGTGCTTATTCCCATTCTGACAAGGACGTGAAGCTGGGTCTTCACACCTATATATATCATCTATTACTTCATGCTTGAGACCACACTAATCATGACTGTTATGATGCTGCAATATGTTTTTTGCATGCCAAACTGAGCATTATTTCCAATATGAGATTCCGGCCCAGTGTTCCTTCAGGTGGTGGGTATGGTTTGCGCACAGCAAGCTAGATACTATGAGTTTGGAAATGTTTGGACAGTTTTTCTTGACATAGATCATGTAGTATTGACCAGTTTTGGTCCTTCTATCTGCGTCTATTTTTGTTCATCTGAATGGACTCAAACATGAGCCAGAAAGAAACCAGAACAAATTTGGAGAAATGCAGGGCAAAAACAATTCTGCAAAGTGCTGTCTCACTTCCCTGGGGGTGCGTTGAACTCACACCAAGCTTGCCTTGCCACTCTCTTCTGCATTCATGTCTAATTTTGACCCCAAAACGGTTGATATAAATCTAAGACTAGAACATTGGACAAGCAATGTCTTCACATGGTTCTCTCTTATTGCTTTGTCGATGCTTTGATGCTGTTCCAAGTCTTCTAAGACTGTCCTAGCTTTTTTGCATCAGTTCTGGATATTTCTGGATGACTTGCATTTCTGGAGCGTCGTGCATGGCATGAAGGAAATCAGGGGAGAACTGATATTCACATCAAACCATTTTGGTGGCTTGCAATCATCTGCAGGCAGCACCTGATTAGACTGTACAGGGTGTTTCTTTCAATCGCTTTTGTTGAGGAGCCAGATTTCAAGTTGCAAAGAGCTGCTGAATCTATGCCTGTTGCATTGTCAAGAATAGTTTGAACCATCTAGCGATGCCAGGCTGCACTACTGGTGGAAGTTCCAGAAAGGGCTTCTGACTGGCAGGCCTCGTGATAGAGTATTGAGAGTGAGGCTTTCCAAAATCATACAGTAGCGTTTGTTGTTTACAGTACCCGTAGAGTCTGATAACTCTGGTATCGCTTTTGAACGTTTGGAGAGTACTCGATAGTACTCATACCAGACAGACAACCCTAGCCGTAGTCTCAAGTTCGCACTGAAAGACTGTTTTCTGATGGAGATCCTCTTTGCATCTCTGTCGCAGTAGTAGACACCCAGGTAAGGCAGCCAGTGGAGGTGTTTTCTAGAATGCAAGTGGAAAGTCAAACACTCAATTCCAACTAAACACATCTAAACACATCATCCAATGTGCACTGATTGTAATTTAGACTGTCGAGAACACACATATAGAATCATATAGAGTCAAATGGAACCTGTTATAGTATCAAAGGATATCAAAGGGGCAAGCGAAGTAGAAGGAAATCTGCAGCAACTCGGGGACTGGAGCAGACTGGAGCACATATGAGCACATAACATTTGTCAAATACCACAGGCAAGAATAGGGAACATGTTCCATGTATGACTCATGTATGTACATTGAAAATCGTTGAAACTCCTTTACATTCGGGCTGCGAGTGGAAGAAGAACCAGAGGGACATCGTAAAGATGGCGCTGTACTTTTTACTAGTGTACGAAGCTTTTAGCATTTTGTTGTCGCAATAAATAAATAAAGATGTCCAACATCTGGCAGCTGTGCACTGTACACGGTACAGGGCTATCCTGGCATGTTAAGTTGTGCCAAATTCCGAGATGTGCTGTAGTGTTACGTTACAGTATCACGTAAGGCGAGCCGCCCTAAGAAGTTAGTGAAGTTGGTACTTGCATGTACTTGCTTGGATTAATTATTTGGATTCCTGATGAAAATGATACAGCAGGAAGTGACATTGACGGATTATGAATTGTGTCGATATCGGTTCGATGTTGCTTCCACCAGGTGCAAATCCTCAGGGAGTTCATGCACCTTGTGGGCGTGCGTGTCACCAGAAGCCAGCATACACCAGGCCAGGTTTCCAGCACCGTTTGAAGGGTCGGTTTGAAATGTTTGAATTAAATAAGCGTTGTATATCGTTGTATAGTAAAACGCTGCAACCTTTCGAAAGTCAGTAAGGCCCACCGCTGCAGGTACTCCGCAACGAATTCTGAAGTTGGCAAATCTGGAGGAGGTTCAGGAGGAGGACAAGTCAACCTTGGTAGCGGATGCAAATGATGCACTTGATGCACATGAGGTATCTGCTATTTTCCACGACGTGGTTGTCCAATCTTTGACCTCAGAAGGTTTGGGCGGCCACTTCAAGATTCGGATTCCTGAAGGTGCAACTGTCGGACTTCTTCGGGAATCGGTTGCTGGACGTTGTGGTGGTGGTGGAGTGGCTGCCCACATTCGAATGGTCCGGCGATTTACCGACGTCTTGTTTCTGCCCCTTGATGATTGCGAGCCTGTCCGTTCAAAGGAGGTGCTCCTTCTGGGCATAGATTTGGCTGGTGTTGAAGGAGAGACTAATTTTGAAAAGGCGGGAGGTGTGGAAGCCAAAATGTTTGTCGATACAGAGGACGACGGAGCTCAGAAGACGAAGACACGTGAATCAATTTCCTTGCTTATGGCAGCAATGGAACTCTTGGAAGATCCACAAGTTCAAGAACTTTTCATGGGCTTGGACACAGTCAGCGACATTCTAGCTGCTTGGGAACCGCCTTGGATATCTTCAGGATTTCATGATTTGGATGCTCAGACTCTCCAGACAGTTGCTCCAAGTACTATTCAAGGTTGGGCTCAGAGTTTTTCGCAGCTTGTTGCAAAAATGACAGCGACAGCAAGGAATGAGAAAGCTCATGCAAGCATGACAAGCACGGATGCAAACATTGATGAAGCGAAACCAGACAATGAAAATGCACATGCGGAAGTACCAGATGAAGTTGAGAGCGAAAACGGTAAGGGTCTTCTGGAAAAGCCAGTCCAGAGTCCATACGATCGAAGTGAGAAACGAGATGAGGCAGCCGGGGAAGCTTGACTTAGTCAGCTTCCGAGAGAAGTGATCCGTTTTTCTGTTTCGACTCAACAGTCTGAGAGGGATGCTGCCAGAATGACACAATCTAGTTTGCTGCACTTGTTTGAACACACTTATATATAGTGCTATTGCTTGGAATGACTTGTTTTGACCTGTTCTCTCGGACCATCTTGTACTGCCCAGCCACACGACCGATTTGTCAGGCAGTTGTGGCAGCCATAGTTGCTGAACCAGAGATGGAGCCAGAACAAGAGCCATCAGGGCCAGATCAGGACATTGAGCAGGCACCAGGGGCACCAGCGTTCGAGCATGTCTACAGTGTCTACAGATTCTGGAGTCGAAGTTGGTGCATATTATCATTACTATCACCTGTAATCTTCAGATGCAAAGGAAGTACCAAGGCGATAAAATTGCGTGGATTACTTAGGGTGTAAGCACCGAGCACTCTCAGTGTGCCAAATTATCATCATCATTGGAAACATGGTTGCAAGATCCACGTTGCAAGTTGCACATGTTAAATTTCATGCGACAATAAAAGTTTCATGGGCAGGAAGTTGATGGCGTTGATGAAATTGTCATGGTGGAACTTCAGCACGCCCCAAGCTGAGCACAAGGATGGAAAGAGCATGAGTCACGTAGGTCATTTCAAGGAACAACCACCACGAACAAACAACCACATCCAACAACCAACAACCAACATCCAACAACCCAACAACGACAACAACGACAACAACAACAACAACAGCATCAACAGGAAGTGCTGCGCCTGCCGTGCCATTTGACGTGCTGAATGTGCCTCAACCTTTTTCTCTTTGGCGCAGTGGTAAGGGGATTCACAAGTGTCACCTTAAGCGTTGCCGCCGCGGCGAAGGTTGGATAGGCTTTTGTCAAAAGTATTGCATTGGCCATGCCAATTGTATGCAGTAAACCTGGAATCCGACCCTTGGAATGACAATTGAATGGGAGCATTTGATTTAGAGCCGCCCCGCTGTATATTCAAAGGTATTGCGGCAACACCTGTATGCGGCATGTTTATGCTTTTTTGAGTGGCAAGTGCAAGACATTGCAAGACATTCAAGACTTAGGCAACATCGGGGCAGCGCTTTGCTGTGACAGTGCCATGTTGCGCTTCCATGGCAGAGGCTACCAGAGATGGATCGCACTGTATTTCGACATGGTTCTACCGAAAGTTCTTACTGTGAGGAGTCCGATGTGTCAAGAGTCAAGCTGTCTCAAGATTCTAAGTGAATATTCAAGTGAAGACATGTGATGATATGATATGAATTGATATCATATATTTAATTTGAATATGTACTTTGATTTAATTTGAAGATGTCTCATGATGTCTCAAGTGGAGGGCCCTCGGCCCACGGGCGTTCTGAGGTGAAGGCAGCTCTTGGCTCAACCCTCGGGCTTCAAAGCGCGCCTCGGTCTTCATTGGTAAAGCGTTGGCGCTTTCTGTCTGAGTCCAGGCAATAGAAAGCGCAGAAAGGGTGACAGCACGTGACAGCAAATGTCCAAGGACTTTCGCAACAGAAGTGCTACTAGCTGCTAGTATCTCTTTACGACTTTAAGCCGATGCTACCATGTTTATATAGACTGAACAAGGACATCCACAAGGACATCCACAGAAACCAGTTCTGGGACATGGAAGTCAATCATGATGCAATCATGGTATGATCCTTCCCTAAACATGTTGGATTGTTTTTTCAAAGCGGCTGCAGTTGCCTCAGTCCGAGAGGCAAATCGTCTCTGATGTCTTTGAAATTTTAGTTCCAAAATGCTCCCCAAATATCCCAAGATTCCAGGCCACGAGGCTTCAAATCGTAAACGAATCCGGAGCAGTCGTTCCGAGCTCAGTGTTGGCTCCAACAGCACGAAGATTTCAAATGGTTTGAAGATGTTTGAAGCACTTTCCAGCTCTGAATAGGACGCTTTACATATTCTTTACATCGTCTAAATCATTCAGTCCTATCGGACATTATATTCACCCCGCTTCGCGTGGGGTGGCCGCCCACACCGCAGGTTTATTTCGGTCCGTGAGAGGGGCTAAGGGTGGTTTTCCCCCGTGGGGGCTCCCCAAGCTAAGAATTTTCACTTTCCCCCCCCGTGGGGGCTCCCCAAGCTAGGGAATTTTCACTTTTCCCCCCCGGTGGGGGCTCCCCAAGCTAGGGAATTTTCACTTTTCCCCCCCCGTGGGGGCTCCCCAAGCTAGGGAATTTTCACTTTTCCCCCCCGTGGGGGCTCCCCAAGCTAGGGAATTTTCACTTTTCCCCCCCGTGGGGGCTTCCCAAGCTAGGGAATTTTCACTTTTCCCCTCCGTGACAGCTTCCCAAGCTATGGAATTTTCACTTTTCCCTCCCTTCAGGCTCTCCAAGCTGCGGAATTTCAAATAGCTAGACAACGACCCTAGATAGTCCCCCAAATCCCGTGTTCTTTGAATGTGTTTCCATGTTTTTGCAATGGTTTCCTTCAAAGCACGGTACTTTACACTTTTGTCGCCATAAAACCGGTCGAAAACATCATGTTCGACAATGCTTCCAATTCCCTTATCTCCCCAACCGTTGAAAATACCGCTATTTACAGTGTTTTCTTCAATTTTTCCATGTTCCAGCCAACTCCAACATATATATAAGAAATCCTTCCAAAACATTGTTTTTGACAGTGTTTTTCCAATGTTTCCAGTCAAACAGACGGTAATTTACACGTTTTTTGCCATAAAGGCAGTAAATCCTTCCAAAACATTGCTTTTGACAGTGTTTTTGTAATGTTTCCAGTCAAGCATACGGTAATTTACACGTTTTTTGCTATAACGTCAGTCCAAAACACTTGTTTTTGCAGTGTTTTCAATGCTCTGGCATCCAAAAACCCTGCAAAATCTTGCTATGTACAATGTTTTTTTCATTTTTGGCCGTTTTTCCATTGCCGGAAAGCTACCAAAATGACCCAAAATTCCATTTCAATACCCTCTTGCGCTCAGACACCCAAAAATCCTCGAAAAATGTCGAAAACACCACCGTATTCTGGTCTCGGTGCGAAACCGTTTTTGGCCCCCCCCCAGCTAAAGCTGATATAGCGACTGCTATATTAACAAATGTCATTGAGCATTTAGTGTTGCTGTTGCCCCCCAATAAGCACGCCTTCACCGCCAAAGCGGTGTGGGCGGATTTTCTAGATTGTGACTAGCATGTGCTGCCAGCGCTGGCAGCGGATGTTTCAAAAGATTGGGACACCTGAGAAAGAGGGACAAGGAGGCTTTGAGAAAGAGGGTGTGACAGATTGGTTGAGTGAATGATGGACTGGGTAAATAAATGACATTAAATGACTGGAACAGGAGTCTTTATGTTGACCAGTGACTCAGTTCACAAGCTTCTGAGTGTGCGAGTGAGAGAAATTACATGAATTGAAGCCAGTGGAGTGCAAAGAGCACGAATTGTCACGCTGCACCCCGATGCAGCGCCAGCAGCAGCTACTCGCAGCACTCCCCTGGGTTATGGTATGGTAGTCCAAGAGCACTTGACGGACGCGGACTATTGCTGGAGACGCGAAGCTCTATGTTCACTTTTTCTGGACTCCTTTACAAGGAAGCTCCGCAATCGAAAGGGGAGAAGGCAGAGCGCAGGGCATGCCAGGCATGCGCGATTGTTGAGAGCATGGTCGTGCAACTCTGTTGCTCAAGAGTCGCCGGAACCATGCAAGACTCCACCCAAGCAAGTAGACCCTGCACGCTAGCGAAAGAGAACAGATATATATTATATATAAATCCGCCCACACCGCTTTGGCGGTGAAGGCGTGCTTATTGGGGGGCAAAACAGCAACACTAAATGCTCAATGACATTTGTTAATATAGCAGTCGCTATATCAGCTTTAGCTGGGGGGGGCCAAAAACGGTTTCGCACCGAGACCAGAATACGGTGGTGTTTTCGACATTTTTCGAGGATTTTTGGGTGTCTGAGCGCAAGGGGGTATTGAAATGGAATTTTGGGTCATTTTGGGAGCTTTCCGGCAATGGAAAAACGGCCAAAAATGAAAAAAAACATTGTACATAGCAAGATTTTGCAGGGTTTTTGGATGCCAGAGCATTGAAAACACTGCAAAAACAAGTGTTTTGGACTGACGTTATAGCAAAAAACGTGTAAATTACCGTATGCTTGACTGGAAACATTACAAAAACACTGTCAAAAGCAATGTTTTGGAAGGATTTACTGCCTTTATTGCAAAAAACGTGTAAATCCGCCCACACCGCTTTGGCGGTGAAGGCGTGCTTATTGGGGGGCAAAACAGCAACACTAAATGCTCAATGACATTTGTTAATATAGCAGTCGCTATATCAGCTTTAGCTGGGGGGCGGGGCCCAAAAACGGTTTCGCACCGAGACCAGAATACGGTGGTGTTTTCGACATTTTTCGAGGATTTTTGGGTGTCTGAGCGCAAGAGGGTATTGAAATGGAATTTTGGGTCATTTTGGTAGCTTTCCGGCAATGGAAAAACGGTCAAAAATGAAAAAAACATTGTACATAGCAAGATTTTGCAGGGTTTTTGGATGCCAGAGCATTGAAAACACTGCAAAAACAAGTGTTTTGGACTGACGTTATAGCAAAAAACGTGTAAATTACCGTATGCTTGACTGGAAGCATTACAAAAACACTGTCAAAAGCAATGTTTTGGAAGGATTTACTGCCTTTATGGCAAAAAACGTGTAAATTACCGTCTGTTTGACTGGAAACATTGGAAAAACACTGTCAAAAACAATGTTTTGGAAGGATTTCTTATATATATATATATGTTGGAGTTGGCTACCGGCATTGGAACATGGAAAAATTGAAGAAAACACTGTAAATAGCGGTATTTTCAACGGTTGGGGAGATAAGGGAATTGGAAGCATTGTCGAACATGATGTTTTCGACCGGTTTTATGGCGACAAAAGTGTAAAGTACCGTGCTTTGAAGGAAACCATTGCAAAAACATGGAAACACATTCAAAGAACACGGGATTTGGGGGACTATCTAGGCGTCGTTGTCTAGCTATTTGAAATTCCGCAGCTTGGAGAGCCTTGAAGGGAGGGAAAAGTGAAAATTCCATAGCTTGGGAAGCTGTCACGGAGGGGAAAAGTGAAAATTCCCTAGCTTGGGAAGCCCCCACGGGGGGGAAAAGTGAAAATTTTCTTAGCTTGGGGAACCCCCACGGGGGGGAAAAGTGAAAATTCCCTAGCTTGGGGAGCCCCCACGGGGGGGAAAAGTGAAAATTCCCTAGCTTGGGGAGCCCCCATGGGGGGGAAAAGTGAAAATTCCCTAGCTTGGGGAGCCCCCACGGGGGGGGAAGTGAAAATTCCTTGGGGAGCCCCCACAGGGGAAAACCACCCTTAGCCCCTCTCACGGACCGAAATAAACCTGCGGTGTGGGCGGCCACCCCACGCGAAGCGGGGTGAATATAACTTATAACTTTGTTTTCTTATCACATCCGCCTTCAATCTCCCATTGTACTGAACAAACCATTTGCATTGCGAAATGGTTTCTATCGAATTCGCCAGTGTTGTCCAACGTTCTTACATGGCTAGAGAGGGTCGAGAGCAACGCAAGATGCAAACATTTTGCAGATGCCCCTCATCGCAGTTTTTTTGTGGTCTACGGTTTGAAACTTTCAGCTTAGCCAGAGATACTAACACAGTCTTCACCTCCACAGCCTTGTCCTGCATTGAGGCAAAGCATGTTGATCAATTGTTGATGTTGAAAAAGTGAGTGATTAGCTCTCAAGAGTGCACAGTGTGGACTCTTTTGCGCGCATGTGCATGAATGTGTGTGTGTGGAGATTATGTGAATCGTTTGAGCCAGGGCAAGTTTTGTGATGTGTGAGTTGAGTGAGACTGGAGGATGTAATGGAATGATATGGATTAATAGGTAGTATACTCGTACTAAGTAATGTGTATACACTGATTCCTGCACAAAATCTTGAAAATACTCATTGGTGAGTTTGTAAATGTTTGGATTCTATGATTCAGATACATGCTGAGCATCCAGGTCGATGAACACGAGGAGCTGGCTGGCAGGACACAAAGCAGCTGCAAACCAAGACCTACCAATACTGCCCATGCCATCCTGCACGTACAAAAAAGGATGAACAAATCAGCTTGGAGAGCCGGATACAAGAAGATCTCAAAGACTATAGTGACAATACCTGTCGTAGAGCATATGGTTTCATAATGTTGCATATCAATGCATATCATGTTCTCGTGCAGGAACTTGTTCACTCCTTTGTAGGATGCCAAACTTGCATCACAGGAGGCGGCTCTTCTTCAAAGGTCCTGAGGCGGGCATACTGTCACGCCATGTCAAGCCACCATTGCAAAGTGCCACAACATTTCCATCAGAACCAATAGACCTCAAAAGCACTTTTGCTCTAATTGAATCATATCAAACAATATCAAATACGGAGTGAAAGTGGAGACTTATTGTTCAAAAAATTGCTAGAAGAACATTCAGCCGTGCTTTGCAACTTGAAGTCTTGATGCCAAATGGCTGTTTAACTGGCGGCATACTTGCGCTTGCAGGGGTTCACCCAAGCTGTTCCAGAGTTTGTTGATTCAGAGGCTCGCCGTGCTTGACTTGATCATTTCCATGTGGAAACAATATAAACAATGGTCTTGAACGGTCTTGAAGGGTCTTGATTGCCTTAGACTCTGCTAAACACACGTGTCACGTGATGAGCTGATTGTGTCCTATCTGGCAAGCTTGGACTGGATGTCAACAAAGTCGTATGAGAGCTCCGAATTTTCGCAGGCCTTTGGCTCTATGTAAAGGTAGAAGAATTGTTTATCAATGATTCACAATGGCAAGATATGGCACGTACATTTTCTAAATTGCAAGTTTTGAGAACAGGGACCGATAGGGACCGATATTGGGATTTCAAGTCACATGAAATTGTAGGTTTAAATGGTTTTGAGATCATTGCTTGGCATTGTACCTACCGCAGCTCGCAGATGTGGGGGTAGCAGTTACACTTCGACTTTCTCCGGAGATGGGTTTCTCTTGCAGCATTGCTGCACGAGACGAGCATTGCTTTTGCAATGGGGAAAGGGAAGAAGACAAAAGGACCAAAGAGCCGAGGTTGTATCGAGAGGTCTGAGAGATCTAGAATCTAGATTGAAGATTGTGTACAGCAACTGTGTAGTGAATACCTTTGCCATTTTATATATTTATTATATTTTATCTATTTTCCTTTGTGTGGCTGTGTCTAAAGAGCTCAAATTTCAGTTCGTGGAGCATGTTTCTCCCTCCTCCGTGCCCATTCCACGCAGGAATGGGGGCTTATGCGGCAGATGGTTTCAGAGCTGTTGTGGAGTTGGATAATAGCACCTCAGAGGTCTATTTTAATTGAACATCTTTCAACACTTTCAAGACTCGCATTCTAGGATGGCATTCTAGAGTCCAAGTCTTGGTAAGATGACCTTGAAGACGTTCCGACACTTATTGCAACAAGGATGATTAGAATGATGCATTTGAATCGCTGAAATATGTGTAAAGGAAGGAAACCAATGCAGGTTCTCTGAGAGGGATGGCAGATGGCATGAAGAAATACTGTATTAGGAAGAGATGGAATCTGAACGCCAATCTAATTTCAGATTCCTGTAGCAGGCAGGGCTTCTTCAGGATGTGTTTGAAGCTGTTTGAAGGCGTTCTGTTGATTTGTTTGGAAGGTTCTCTTTGAATCCGGTGCCACCGATGTAGGAGCTTATAGGGCTGTGCAGCAGTGCAGGAAACTTTGAAGTTTGACGATGTTTGTACAGGTTTGTTTTGTGATAGTTGACCACTTGAGTAGCAAATTTGCAGGTACGTACGTACAGCAAAGGCTGAACTCTTCACATTCCACAGAGCACATTGATGCAAGCCTCGACATCCACAGCAAACTGACGAGGCAATGTCTATGCGGTGATGATTTCCGAGATGGTCTCAAACATATTCAAAGAAGGTATGTGGTTCAAAGCCTTGACCCCCTACATGCTCATAATCACCGACAATGCCACTTGATTGCAAAAGTGTTTGGCTACCATTGGCTTTGGCTGGGGGTTCGCAGCCCCGAAAGTTTACGGTACTCCATCCAATTTGGATATTATGGTCCTGCCCCAGTTTGATCATCACTTCGCCGTTGCGGTGGGATGCCCCGTCCACTGTATGTCAGGTGTCTGTTTGCTTTCTTCTTCAGACTTCTTCAACCTTGTTGCATTTTTTGTTGATGTCAGTTGATTTTGGTTCTTTGAGATCAATCCTCTTGGTAATCTTTTGTTCCTTTGTTAATAATTGTGTTTGCCTTCTCCTTCTCCATTGTGTCTCCAAGAGGTGTCATGGCTGCCTTGCCCCAAGCAAAGATGGTAAAGTTGCTGTGAGAAAGCGACGTGCAAACATGGGGGCTGGGCTGCGATGTGCACTCAGCCACTTTGCCTTTCGTCACTTTCCCAAGAGCACCTGTAGGACCTGTAGGTCTGCGATATACAAGCTGCAAGGTGCTGCAAGCTTCTGCCCTAGCGGCCCTAGCCCTTTTTCACGGAACTTCTTGCATGTTGCATCCTGATTTTCTGCATACATATACATCCATAAACGTCCAGATACGTACATACATACGTACGTATGTACGTAAGTACATACGTACGAACATTCACATCACGTACATATATTTTATGTACATACGTAACATACGTACGTAGGTACGTAGATACATACGTACGTACGTCCATGCATGCATGCATACAGCCAGGCGGAATTATGTGACAGTATGCCAATGCAACTTCCGCATCATGATATATACGTAACTATGTAAGATAATCTATATTACACATGGAGGAGGCAGGTAGGCAGGTAGGCAGGCAGACATATGTGACACTGTGCGTATGATTTTGTATGTACTGCACTTATGACCCACTTGATTTGAAAGCTGGATGGTGTGTTTGTGTTGTTTGTGTGTCAGCTGTTCTGAGTATATAAACACTTTTCCATCAATGTTGGATGGTGTCCACCTTTTGAACAGAGGATTCCCGAGTAAACACGTGATATATACAAGCCAACGGTTTCCACAGACCGCGGAGATTTGAGAAAGATTGGACAATTTTGAACATATTCGACGTGGAGGTAGCTAGTTTGGTTTCTAAGTGCGCACAAGCTTACAAACAAATTCGTACCCAGGATCCAATTTCCGTGGGCAACATGCTGACGCTCAATGGTGTTACCCGAGCTTTGGTAGGCCAGGAATCAGGGCGATATGGTGCAAATCACATTGAAGACAAGACTGGAAAGCATTGATTGGCACACTTGATGGTATTTGTTTTGCAGACGCACGACTAGCATAGTTGCAAAGACTTGCCCAAAATTGCCAGACAGTGCTGGACCGTGCCAGGTGTCTCCTCTGGTCGTCTGCTGATAAACAATATTGGTATAGACGCTGTTGCGAGGCTAAGCATTGCCAAACTATGCAAGCCTTAGTTTGTGAACTATTCTGAACTTGTGGGTTCTGTGTCGACTGTACTTTTATATTGCGGGCGTCAAGATGGAAGTTACGGAAGTATTAAATCCTGTCAACATGTTGATCGACACCACATGACCACCCATGATGACCCAATGGCGTTCACTTTATGCTTCAAAAATTACCGGTTGCAGCGGTTCGGTCTTGTGGAGCCTTCAAGTTCTTCACCCTGCACTCAAGCTCGACTGCAGCACTTTGGTGTATCCATAGTGTGGTTGAGTGCGTCCTGCAGTGTCACTGAACTGTATGCTTGCAGAGATATGCGTATGTTGCGTTTGTATGGGCTATCGACAATATCCATACACTATCAATGTGAGGCAGGATGTTAATTGGGGACAGATTATTTGCATAATTTTGCACGCACACACCCACACACCTATGCTGCCTGTACACTCGCATAATCTGTAACGACATTTAAATATGGGGAGGGCGGGCCAGACCGCGAGGCTCCGGAGGTAGTATGAAATACAAGTTCGTATATTTAAATGTACAGCGGAACGGTTAGATAAGAACCGATTAAGAATTTTCCAGCCTACCCTGGGGTTCTTAAGTGCTATAGGTGGAAAATATGGGAATTATGAACGAAGGTACCCTCAAGTTCTTAATGGGTTGGTTCTTAAATGTTCTTAAGGGGTTCATTTGGTGAGGGTTTTGCCAATTCATTTTGGCGTGGTATTAGGTTGCAAAGGAGGCGGGGGAAGAAAAAAACAATTAGGTCCCGAAAAGTTTTTTCAGGCGCAGGCTGCGGCGCAGGCATTCCGAGACAAGGCAGCACAGGCAAGACAAGCCAAAACAAGCCAAGAGAAGCCAAGGGCAGCCTCCAAGGTCAGATGACCTTCAGTGAGTCCGGCTGGCGTCTCGCTGAAGCTATCAACATCAACCTTGGTGACCCCGTAAGAGTTCAAATATCCCTGGGGCCGCACTATATTTGTCCTCGCATGGAATTTCCGCGGTAAATAATCTATTTTTGTTTTTTTTTGGGAACTAGTATGAAATAGTTGCTAATAATAATCAATGTTTGGTATATTGATACCCGTTAAAGGGGAATAAGAACCAGCGGCTGGAATTCCAGGGTACCCTAGGGTTCTTATTTCGTTTAGTTTACAGAAAGGGTTGAATCCAGCAATCCAGCCCCTGAAGTTCTTATTGCAGTGGGTCCTTAGACAGTGGTTTCACTGTAATTAGTTACCATATGTTTAAATGAATTGGATTCCGTATGTTGAAATGGCCGGGCGGGCCAAGGAAAACCTTCCCGAGGTAGTCTAAAATTTAAAAGAACGGTATATTGAAATGTAGTTACCGTATACAGTATTATACATATTATACATATACATACATATACATACATATACATACATATACATACATATACATACATATACATACATATACATACATATACATACATATACATACATATACATACTTATACATACATATACATACATATACATACATATACATACATATACATACATATACATACATATACATACATATACATACATATACATACATATACATACATATACATACATCTACATACATCTACATACATCTACATACATCTACATACATATACATACATATACATACATATACATACATATACATACATATACATACATATACATACATATACATACATATACATACATATACATACATATACATACATATACATACATATAAATACATATACATACATATACATACATATACATACACATACATACACATACATACACATACATACACATACATACACATACATACACATACATACACATACATACATACATACATACATACATAATATGTACTGTATATGTATATATACACACGCATGCTAGCCACGTATTTGCAGGAATGATTGCAAACACAATGTGATGCGATTCACATACATGTGGTATTGTATGGTGTGTGGGCTTCATGTTTTTTGTCATCTACGTGATGCACTGTCATAAAGCCATGCAAGTTAATGTCAAGAGAATCGATCACAACATCCACTGATATCCAACCTAGCCATACTGCTATACCTGGTTTGACATTCTGCATGAACTTAAGTTACAGACACACTGGAGCCTTGACTTGAGGTTTGGATAGCCACTGGCATAGCGGGCTTTCTTGGCATTCTTGTGAACGTCACTTTGTGCCAGTTAAAGCATATTGAAGCTAAGAAGTTGTTGGACACAGCAGAACATTGACGAAATTGTGTCTAATGAGCTGGAAACAAATCAGAAATGACTTGATTGACTGAGGTTATATGCCTCTGCCAGGGTTCTGTTTTTGCTGCCTATGTTTTAAACTTTACCTGGGCAGTCTGATGCTCAGTCCATGAAGTCGCCAGGTGACCGCCAGATACCTGCACTCTCCAATTGTCATGGATTCAGAAATTCATGGATGCTGGCATTCAACAGCTTCGACATGGGGCACTTAAACTATATAGTGTTGTTCGTTCACTTGAGGTCTACAATGGATTGTGGAACTCTTGCTTAGAAACATCATGGGCTCGATCAATCTTTAGAAATAAGAGAGATGCTTGGCAAATGTTGATCAAACATGTTGAGAATGTTTATCGTCCGTTTCTTTTCAAACCAGTGCTCCAAGATGCTCCACGTATGGCCGACTCATGGCACACCATATTTCTTCCAGCTCAGGAAGACATTAATGGAGCCCGGCAAATCACCAACAAATTTACTACTTCCCTTGGACCTCTCTTTTCTGCTGCCGCTTGCCAGCAAAGTCTTTAAAGTGCACCCCTTGAGTAGTGTTCAGTCATAGATGAAATAGAGCACATCCTACAAAGAAAACACTGGTACAGTATTGGATGACATTCGGCATTCAGAACATAATCTGCCATACTCCGAAAAGAGACACCTTTTACAATGTTGCCCCTTAGAGGGATTCAGGGTGAATCATCCAATGCCAGACTTGATTTGTAAATTCTAGCAAGCTGTCAGGTTGTACAGGCATCTGACAAAGTCGTACCTGTTTTAGGAAAAAATCGTTGTGCCTTGGGGAAGTGTGTTTCGCAAAAGTCGTGCCTTTAGCAAGAACGCATAGGAACTCTGGAGTTTGGATATGTAACCTGTTTTCTTATGAGATCACGTAGCTGAAAAATAATGATGCAGAATCCCAGCGTTGACATGCAGGTTGCACACGAGAATGACATTATAAGAGAGTAGAAAATCAATATTTTCATCCATCGCGTTCCATTGTGTTTCATTTGTTTTTCATGTCTAAAATGCATGGTTACACGTTTATTGAGGACAGCGTTCCATGCAGAAAAGCATTTAGGCATGACTTAGGCATGACTTCTTGGATACAGCGTTTACAATGGTAAATGCCATTGAAAAACATGCTAGGCATGACTCAGGCGTGACATTGTCGCTTCCCTGTACTTGTAGCAGCTAAAAGCAACGGCTTCATGATCCCGGGAATCTTAAAGGAGAAAACGTTCGCAGCAACGGCAAATGCACTCACTCCACTCACTCACTCACTCACTCACTCACTCACACAAGCAACTCGCTTCCAAGAACCTCCTTCACTAACTCGCTCACCAATCCATTCACGGGCTCATGGTCGATTCACGTGCTCATTCATCTATCTTAAAGATTCTCATAGTCCGTCTCCCTGCTTAGACTTTCACTCCACCTCTCTAGTGAAGTTACTCTTACTTCAACAACGAGCCAAGTCACTAACTCAACTCAAGCCTTTAATATCAAAACACTCTGGTATCTTGCTCCAAAAGAAATCAAGAAAGTGCACAAAATGCCGCATAGCCAGCCACAATCGGGCAGGAAGCCCACGGAAACGCACTCAACGAAATACTGCGTCTTCCAGTCTGTCTTCTGCAAGGACGAGGAAAACCGAACAATTGAAAAAAGTTGAAACAAGTTGAAAAAAGTTGAAACAAGTTGAAAAGAGATTGGGATGACTTGGTGGTTTTTTTGGACATAGGATACCTGTCATTCCCTTTAACATCCTTGAACCATTTTCGTTCTGGTTGGCTGTCCTATTTTCAAGATCTTGCAAGCAGCCCTTTTCAGTATGTGGCAAGAATAGAATAAGAATACTGTAGTGTGTTAATTTCTCATGAACCATTTGTATTGCAGTGTGTTTACATCAGGTTGCAAGATGTTGCAAGAAGCTTTGCCAGGTTATAGTCTTGTTGGAAATAAGTTTCGGAATATACTTGCGTTGATACCGGTTGATACCGGTCAGTTGGACGCTTTTTTTGTGCGTTGTCGTCGGATACAGATATCGTAGCAGGTTTGTCATCGGTTTACTTCTGAGTCACTGGTTGTTTGCATCGCTCGCTAGCATGCAGAACACTGTTGTGAGGCTATTTTTGTTGCCTATGGCAACAAATGGGTTGGGGGCTCAAAATTTCAAGAGCTGCCCCTGCTGTGTGCATTTCAGTCAATCCACATCACTCCACTAACTCTTGGCTTTCTGAGGATGTGGGCCTTGTGCAAAATGTGATGCTCTTTGGAACTGGTATGACCTCCGTGGTCGCGGCTTGGCATCGATGATTCTGCTTCAGAAAGTGATGAAAGTGCACTGTTGGCTGAATCATCAAACATGTAAGGAATGAGTTCACATGCATTAACATGTCGCATTGTTTATGTCTAAGTTTGGCATCCTTGGAGGAATTGTATGCTTGTCATATAACGTTGTTGCTACTGAAAACCATGACACATAGACATATTGCGCCTTGAACATTTGCAGAAATGTGCAAGATTTAGATTGTTGCAATGTTGCACACTGGTTTTCTACTGTTGGGTCAGAGTGGGTGCAAAGAGCCAAGACTGTAGCTTTTCAATTCTTGCTGGTCACGTCAACATCATGTCACATATTCAGTGCATCGTTCTTCCTGCGAAGGTTGCGCTTTGCTTCTGCTTTCGGGCTAGCGAAGAGATTGAACAGGCCGAAGCCAAGAAGCAGACATGGCCATCTGCACAATGGAAGCACCTTCGATTTTACTGGGTCATGGAGTAAATATAGGCAAATGTGTATTAAATATTACATACTCGTAATAATATTGGTATATATACTACTAAATGGAGGGCTATTTATTGATTTTTTTTTCGCGGCAGGTTTAGGATTTTTTTGGGGTTCCTGGTTCTATGCTTTCCTGTTTCTCTGATTTTCTGCTTCTCTGCTTTTCTACTTCTCTGCTTACATTGCTTCTCTGCTTTTCTGTTTTTTGCTTTCCCTGCTTCTCTGCTTTTCCCGCTTTTCTGCTTTTCTGCTTTTTGCTTTTCCTGCTTCATTGCTTTTCTGCTTCTCTGTTTTCCCTGCTTCTCTGCTTTTGTACTTCTGTGCCTTTCTACTTCTACTATTCTACTTTTTCTTTTCTTCAGTCATGTGTTTTTGCTGCTCTACTTACTGCTCCTTTGCTTCTTTGCTTCCTGTCTTTACTGTCTCTTTGTTTTTCGTTTTCTTTTGCTTTATTCTGTTCTGTTTGTATCCTAAATGAAACCCTAGAGAGACCCTAGGTGAAAGCCAAAGAAAGCCTAAAGAAATCCTGATAAGAAACCCTACATGAAGCCATAAATGAACCCTAAAGAAACCATAGATTAATCCAAAAGAAACCACAAATGAAACCCTAAAGAAACTTTAAATGACACCCTAAATGACATCCCAAAGAAACCCTAAACAACACTCTGAAAAAAAAACTAAATGAAACCTTAACTGACACCTTAGCTGAAACCCTAAATTGACACCCTAAAGAAACCCTCAATGAAACCCTAAATGAAACCCTAAATTGAAACCCTAAATGAAACCCTAAAGAAATCCTAAATGAAACCCTAAACGAACCCCCCAAAAAACCCTAAATGACACCCTCAAGGAACCCTAAAGGAAAACTAAAGGAACCCTAAAGGAACCCACTTGAACGTTTAGAAATTGTGAAAAGAAATCCTGATAAGAAACCCTGGAATGAAACCCTAAAGAAAACTTAAATGAACTCCTGAACGAAACCTTAAATTGACACCCTAAATGGAAACCCTAAAGAAACCTTAAATGAAACCCTAAAGAAACCCTAAATGAATCCTAAAGAACCCCTAAATGAAACCCTAGAGAAACCCGAAAGAAATTCTAAATGAAACCCTAAAGAAACCTTAAATGAGACCCTAAATGAAACCCAAACTGAAACCCTAAAGAAACCCTAAATGAAACCTTAAATGAGACCCTAAACGAAACCTTAAATGAGACCCTAAACGAAACCCTAAAGAAACCCTAAAAAAATCCTAAATGAAACCCTAAAGAAGCCCTAAAATGCCCTAAAGAAACCCATTTGAACGTTTAGAACTCCTGATAAGAAATCCCGATAAGCGACCCTACATGAAACCGGAAAAAAAACTTAAATGAAACTCTAAAGAAACCCTAAATGAAACCGCACAGAAACCCTAAATGAAACCCTAAATGAAACCCTAAAGGAACCCTAAATGAAACCCTAAATGAAACCCCAAATGAAGCCCTAAATAAAACCCTAAACAAAACCCTAAATGAAACCTTAAATGAAACCCTAAATGAAAGCCTAAAGAACCCTCAAGAGACCCACATGAACGTTTGAAGCACCAAAATGAAGCAAATACCATGCAAATGAGAGGTTGAAATGCCAAAATGTGACAAATACCATGCAGAATGGAAGGCGAACATGGCCAAATGTAGCAAATACCATGCAAGATGCAAAGTGACCATGCCAAAATATAGCAAATACCCGCAAAATAACAGGTTCTAGTTCCAAACTGTTGCAAATACAAGGCAAATGGTACCGGGAAAGAACACCAAAAAAAGATCCAAAACCTGAGGCAAAAAAAAAAACTATTCTACACCGATCTGAATTATGGTATAAATTCTGACCGATTGTTTATACTTTATGCTTTTTACATGCGTTCACCCTCATTGAAAGTGGGCTGGCTTGGCGAGCTGACCAGGACCTGCCGTTGCAAGATGTTCGCAGCATGGAGCTTCTCAAACTGATCTGGAGTGAAAAGGATGGGGACAGAAGAATCAGAGATAATCAGAGAAAGGGAGTGAGAGACACTGAGAGTGACAGAGGATTAGAGAGGGAGCTTGGAGCGCGGAGAAGTAAGTGGAGTCGAGAATCAAGAGGCACCGGTTGAGGATAAATTGCAGCACAAACTTGAAAGATTGTGGAGCTTTGACTTCGTTTGACCAAGGTTTAGCACAGCTGTGAATCTGGCCCCGAACTCTGACCAGCAAAACTCATCTTGATACGCTCGTTGTTGAATGGTTTCGAAGCTGAGCTGCTGTTCTGGCTTCAGGCTTTGGACAAGCCGAAAATATTCATGCCAGAGAGCATGTCGCAAAGCGACTTCATCGCAAACGATGATGGCAATGCTACGTGGCGTCCGACCAATCGTGACACTCCCGACACATCTCCCCACGTGTAACTGAAGAAGCAGCAGATCAAGACGGTGAAACCTGGAGAACTCAGGTTGTGTTGACTTGTCCTCTTGGGGGCAACTCGGATTCATGGGCTTCCCGTATTCGCAGCTTGTCAGCATCATTCAGCATCAGTATCTCTGACTAAAGTAGCAAACTCCTTGGCCAATACTGTATCAAGTACTGTACCGCTTTACGAAATTTTGTCGCTGCATGCCTGAGTTGCATTTCGGCTCCAATCAGCCTTACAAGCCATATGAGCACTTGAGTCGTTGTTCTAGGTGACAGTGCTTCGTGGATGGCGTGCGCGTGTGGGGGTGGGGTGGGGTGGGGTGGGCTAATAACGTTCTTTTGCACATGTACTTGCTGCTATGCTAGTGGATGTTTACTTGCATGTGCACACGTACTTGATGCTATGCCACTAGATGTTTTCTTGCATGTGCACGAGTGAATACCGGGTCGAGTCGAATCAGCGTCACGAGCAGTGTCCAGAATCAACAGGTTTTGTGCACATCACATTTTCTCACTATTCAGAAAGACAATAAACGCACACCATCTTCAAGGCGCCTTGTTTTAGCTCCTTGGAATTCCTCGAATGATTTTAGAAAGTTCTCGACATTTCTTATATTTCTTGCTGGTGCTTGCCAGCACCAAGCTGCTCATGTTTATAGAGCTCATCTATGCAAATCTCAGCATCCTTGGATATCCTTGGGCTTGCATTTGGGCTGGATTGTCGTGACGAATTCTAGAAGATCTAGAAGGAACTGATGAGTGTTGCCATGTGTTGCCAAAGCCAAACAGAATTGGATCCTGGGACAATCTGCAGAACTTCCAACATCTTCCAACTGTAGATCGTAGTTTCAGGCATACTGACCTCCGACTATGCGGAAACGAACTTCATCCTTGCAAAACAGCTCTTTGCCTGCAATCCAAGACATGCAAAGCACACGTTTCTTTTCTGAAAGCAATACAATTCGCAGTGTGGTGGGATGCTGTGGGATTCATCATTGCAGTGGTTTTGCAGTTGTTTTGTCGTTCGTTTTCCTCTGGAAGGTTTCGGGCTTCTTTGCACGGAATACACACTCGTAGCTGCAACTGGGCGCTGATTTTACTTGTCACCGTGGATTGTTGCGGGTTGTATGGTCTTGTACGCTTTGGATCTTTGGCATTTGGGGACAATTGCGGGACATGACAAATAGCCTCAAGCATCACATGTGCAACATGTTTATCCTACAGATTTGCGGTACCCTGTCAGGCAGCATCTATGCTGTCTATACGCTAGATTATGCTAGATTATTGCAACCCCAGAGTACAAAAGCCCAAAAGACCATCTAGAGGCTCTGCTTTTCCCACAATGCGCTACTCTGGAGGGATTCCAGGGAGACCCTAGAGTGAAAGAAAGAGATCCTACGGCCAGTGGGAGCATGCTCTATGATTGTTTTTTGGTCGTCAGGCAACACAATCCTAGCGCATTGGATCTACGCGTGCCTTTGTATTTAAATGCATTCAACAGCATTCGACTATGTCTAATAGAAGATATAGAAGTGTTGCCATTGTGTGTTCACGGTGTTATTAGTCTCAGACACTACACGCCACTTCACGTTGCCAGTGGAGTGCGCGAGAACTTCCTGCGAATGGCCTTGTGCTGCAGTAGCTGCCACATGGCACAGCAATTCCAAGACCTTAGGAATTTCTGGAAGCATTTTGTCATTCCATGGTGTGCTGTGCTCTACAAAATGGTTTCCAAACTCCAAAGGTTGCCCACATTGTTCTGGAACAGGTTTTGCATCAGTGTTCAACCAGTATGTCACATCCCACACCAACATTCCACCAAGGCTTGTATAAAAGTGTGGTGCAATCGTGCTGTATCATGCAGTACTGTATCAAAGCGTTCACACAGGGGTTGCGTAACAGTGTTGTGCAAAAGTCTTTTGCACAAAAGCCTTGCAATGTTCTTTGTGATCGTTCTTATATAACATGGGCGCCTCGCACTCGCACCCAATCCCATGGCGCAGAATTTTCAAGAACACCTGGATGCCATTGGACGTTCCGGAATAGCAAAACTCTTAGCATCTGAGCACAACTCTGGCCTCTAGACCGCCGTATTGAAGGGCTCCGGCCTCACGACTGCTTGGATTGCTTGAGTCACTTCTGCTTATACCAGCGGTGCAAGTACCATCAAAACCCATCAAATGCATGTGTCTCTGACGCTTCTACGACTTGTAGCCGCCAAATTCAAGATGGCCTTTAGTGACTTTAGTGGTCGGTGGCTCTTTAAAGGGTTTCATAGGTGATGGTACATGATAGTACAATGGCCATAGTACATCATTTTACTGGGTGGTGCGGGAGCCGTAAAGCCCCCAACTGTTTCAGGATGCCAGTAGACTCCGCACACTGTTTGACCAAATCCTTGTGAAATCTCCGAGATGGAGTGTCCAGACTTGTGCTTTCAAGCGCAGGAATCAGGAAGGAAAATGGGAGGCGGTTTTGTCGGTTTTGTGAGGTTGTTCAAGTCTTTCCGCAAATCATATTTGCGCAGCAGTTGGCAAGAGTTGATGTCATGTTGCGCTGATGATAGCGATTGTAGCGGATCTGGTCAAGCAATATGAATCCATCTATATATATATATATATATAAATATCCATCTCTTTTATGAACTTTCAAGGCGTGCTACATTTTCACGATGACTCTCGGCACAGTGTTCCTGTTCAGCTTGAAGAAGTGAAGGTCTACCTGACACAGGCACATATCCTGGTGTTTGTCTCTGCATGTTTGTGTTTTGTTTTCTCTGTATTTATGGATTATTATTGTTTTATTTATTTTGTGTTTTTGTGTGTGTGTATGAGTGTCTGCAGAATGAGCTAGATTGGGCCAAGAAAATTGAAAAGACGTGCTTCCGGAATCCTTCAAAACTCGATCCTGTTGTCAAAAGCATCCTGTGAAGCTTGATTCATGCTGCTGATAATCTGGTTTATGTAAAAAGGACACGCAGCACTATCTTGACTTATATGGGTACCTACTTGTACAGTCGGCTGATAGCACTAGCTGTTGGGAACTTTTCCGTCACATGTTGCCACCACATGTTGCCTATTTGGATTTGCGAGGCTGAGGAGAACTCTGAGGATGTTCCAAAGGTGAACATCTCACGAAGATCCTTAGTACAGAATTAACGCGTTCAGCGCTTTTCATTCGATGTCTGTCTAAGAATAATTTGGCCAAACCTTCGCATGGAGTAGGAGAATTCATGAGAATAGTAGGAGAGTAAGTTGGAAATCTACGTGAGCCAACCAGTAAAGTATGGACTGCAAAAACTTTGTCCTAGAACTGTATACAACAGCTGTGACTTGTCTGAGTGGTGCAGTACCGGTAATATCTGGCAACATGGTCAAGGAATGTCAAGGAAGGGATTTTGAAAGTGTGCGTATCCCACTGTGCATGGCTATCCATTGATGCTGAGGCACTGTCAGATTCAGTATGGACCTAGATTCGGTTCGCTCACCGCAATACTTCTCGTTTGGAAGGTTCTTGCGGGTTATTCTCTTTGGAGCCTTGCCTGAACAATTTGTTTGATCTTGCCTTTACACATCTTTGAGATTCTTTGAGCATGTTCAACCCTGACAGAGTACCTTCCAACACTTTGATCCAAAGTGTATGGGCAGTACGTACACCACTTCAGATCTCCTTTGACTAGTCACCAAATGTCACCAAATGTCACCAAATGTCACCAAGGCAGCAACAAAGAGATCTTGCTGCAAGGCTTGTTTCAGCGTCTTTCCCAGGGTCAGGGTGAGCTTCACGGTGAGCCAAATTCTTTTGGTTTCCTGTGTGCAGTGTACACCAGCCGGCACCCAGCAGGTAACCAAAAACCACTACTTGGCGGACAGTCTGAAGGACTGAGAGCGAACATCTTCCTAGCACTGCCTGATTCGTTGTACTTGTGTTCTGATTGGATAAACACGATGATAAAACAATATTCAACATAGAGAATGCACGCAGTAGTATGATTCTCTCTAGAAAGTGTTCGTGATGTAATAACAAAGCTTTATACATTTGTCTAGTGTCTTTGCTGCGCTTCAACAGCTTTTGAAACTGGTGGGAGTTGAGGAGTTGATGATCAACTTCCTGTGCTCCTTGCCTTAACTGCATTACACAGAAGTGCATCAGGCTTCAGTTTTGCAGCGTGATCCATCGCACAGTTCTACTTTGGTGTGCAATTTCAGGGCATGGGCAAGGCTTCACATGAAACTCTCCGTTTGGCATGCAGTCGATTCCGTTTCAGGAGAGTCTATTCAGTGAAGCCGAAGTTGACAAGATTTTGTTTGCAATTCGCCACATCCATTGACTCCGAGGAAGGGAAAAACAGCTACTGATATCCTCGTCCACAATACTACGACTCCAACGCGTGCACCAAACATGCTTGGTGCAAATGTCATTGCGCCTCAGATCAAGTTTGTCAATGGATCGGGATATACATGTATCATCATATTATATCATATTATATCATATTATATCATATTATATCATATTATATCATATTATATCATATTATATCATATTATATCATATATTTATTTATTTATATTTATTTATTTATTTATTTATTTATATATTTTTTTAATATACACATATAATTGTTACATATGTATGTATATATATAAATATATAATGTATTATATATTATATTATATTATATATAATATATTATATATAATTATGCATCAAATTGAGGCATTTTTAGCGAGCTTGGAAGAATGCCAGCGTGGGCGTCCCTGGGCGCCGCAGGTTGTGTGTGACGTGCTGAACGCACTGGGCGCTGGCTTTTCACTGAAGTTCATTGACCTTTTCCTCAAGGCGTTTGATTCGTTTGAATTTGTTTGATGCATGTTGTGATGTTGTGTTTGTTTGTTCCAGGAAGCGCTGTCGCCCAGTTTGACAGGAAAGCAAGAAGTTAACATAGTGTTAAACATAGATATGTTCTGTGAATCAACAGGTTTTGTTTTGCACAGGTTGCAATGGTTGCAATGAACCATATGAATCCATATGAAACAAGGTTGATGGGAACTCCAGACGACCTCAAAAGAGCTGGAGTCCAGAGTTGAAGCAACTGCACGCTCTGCGGGTCTCTGCACACCATGCTTGAAATCTGTTCACGTGTTTTTGGGTCACAAAACGATTGACCTCTCTGACCATCAGGTGGACTACGGCGTGTCACCTGCAGGCAGCTGATGACTCAAAGCAGAGAGAGAGAGAGAGAGATTGGCATATCTTGGCACTATATGGCACGAGATTCAGTAGATGCAGTTGGACGGTTAGTAGCACAATTTGGTCGTTGACTTGTCTGGAAGTCGTACTTCAGTATAAGTCAGAAAGAAAGAGGAAACACATATATCAATTATCAATATATGTATTTCTGTAATACTCAATGTAAAGCACTTAAGACTTCAGATTATATTCAAATCTGTACGGTTCTTTGCAGTTTTGTGTTGCTTGGAGGCGTGTTTATGGTGGCCTTTTTGCAGAACATTCTCGGGGCTTGGCTAACACCATTTGCCAAAAAGCTTCTGGCAACCTGACTTGAAAGACAGTATCCTGCACCTAAGGTCAAACTGTCAAACTGCCAAACTGTCAAACTGAAATGGTCCTTGCAGGGTTCGGAATTCAACACACTTTTGCAGGAAGAACCTGGTGCACCACGCAGTAGTTTTGACTCAGCACACTTGTTGGCACCTTTAGAACAGATTTGCCGCATACGTCACGTCAGTTTGGAAGGCTGGACTCAAGCAAGAAGGGTACAGAGCAAAGTTAGGAGTCGTGCCTTTGCAGCATTAAATCGTGTTCAGATGTCTTTGGTATTTTTGAATAATAGTGTTTGTCAGCATATTGTTCAATGTACAGAATGTGAGGCGCGTGGTTCCTCCAGCATAGGAGGAAATAAACAGCTACAGTACAAGCGTTGGTCGCTTGTGTATATATATATATACATATTACATATATTACATATATACACACCATTATACAGAATACACCCATTATTATACAATGGCTTGCAATGCGTTGCAATTCACTTCCCATGTCTGAGGTGTTTCTGTGGAGCCTGGCATTGCTTTTCCTTGGGCTCGTGTGCATGCCGGGTATGCCTTTATGGGTGGTGATTCCATCTATCGTCCTCATGCAGTCCTTGAACTCATGCACCAAAGCATTCAATCGAGCACAGCTGATCAACTTTCTGCCTCGAGAGAAGATTGCAACATACATGACCAGTCCTCAGTTGCACGGGGATGCCATTTGCCATCATCCGCCAGGGTCTACTGAAGAATCTAGTCACATCTCAGCTTAATGAAGAGCATGTAGATATCTAATGAAATTAAGAGACATTATAAATATTTATAAATTTATAATATATTTACTACATTTTACTAAGACTGCTCAAAGCTTGGCACTTCTCAGCAGTATGGCGATGTAGGGCGTCATGCGTTCTTTTAAGTTTTCAAGAAGTAAGGACGTGGGATGCCATGAACAAGGCCAACCAAGGTGGAATTGCAATCTTTGGAGCTCAAGTCGTTGCAGCTGCTGGCTACCGCGGATGTTTTGTTGGCACTTTTATCATTCTATTCATTCGCACCTCGCTCAAAGAGAACTATCCAGAGCTTGAAAAGATGAGCCTGATACCAGACAGTACCAGACAAATGCCAGACAAGTTTGTGATGTTTCATGTATCATATTTTTTTTTCAAAACATGTCACGTCAAAGGTATGTTGATATACCTGACCTTCACACTTCGAAAAGGGACGATCTATCGAGGCCGGGATTCCGAAGAACCCTTCCAACATCAATCCAACAGCTTCCAACGTTTTTAGAAGTATGATGAAGTAAATATGAAGTATGCGTTTGACATCGTTTGACCCCTTGAAGAAGTCCTATGCCTTAGCGATCTTAGTGTGAAGAGTTTATCTCAGATCATGTGAGTCCTCAATGTACACTTCGCTCATTTCACTCATTCCGCATTTGTTGGTAGTAAAACTGTGAGGCGGATACCTCCGTGCTTTAGAGGCACAGCAGCTCTCTGAGGCTGCACAGCCAGAGTCGCAGCTCGGTTCGAGCAAGACTTCAAATTTTCAGATGGTTTTGAATGTGCATCTACAATTCAATTCAGTCTGTTTTTGTAACCGTCAGAATCTTGAGCTAGATTGGCTTGAGCTTCGACTTTTTTGGGGGATTAATTGTAAGACAAGAAGAATTGAATCCAGCTCCTCATGGGCTTTCCGGGATTGTTTGACTATGCACACATTGGTGAATTCCAAGGTCGCCAACAAACGACGACCTCACTAGCCTCTTGCCAGTCGTTGCCAGTTTCATCGAGTTTCATCGAGTTTCATGCAATGCAAAGCTTTGGAATCTGGGTCACCACAGGAGACCTAAAATTCATACAAATTAATGCCATGATATGCCATGATCATCCAGGATCCAGAAGTAACATGAAGGAATGGGCTCAATGGACTGGAATGATTGGGTTGATTGGAATGTCAATTGCCCAAGGCGTGGAGAACATCAAAGGATACGACGATACAGACCAGGATGGGCCGCACTGTGAGGGTCCTTTGCAAGATTTTGAAGGTGCGAAATGATGCAATTCAGAATGAAATCTATGATCCATATTGAGCCATATTGAGCCATATTGAGCCATATTGATCCATTATACAGTATAATTCAATGAGCTAATCATGGATATGACACATCCTCCCAACCATTAGACACGGAAGCGCTGTGTCAAAAATCAGCCTTCCATGCTGAAAGTAAGGATGTACTGTAACCTTACTTCGCTGACGTGTCAGCTGCCATCAGCTGCCATTCAACCGGCCAGTCTTGAGAATGACCCGATCCAATGATAAGCACATGGTGAAAGTATGTGAAAGCAGTCCGTGACTTCATTGCAGTATCATGCAGTATCATGCAGTATCATGCAGTATCATGCAGTATCCATCTATCCGATCCATCAGTAATGCAATCTGGGAATCTGGAAACTCAATGAGCTCCTTCGAGATGCTTGGAGTAGTTTGCGCTTGAAGCTTCCAAAATGGTGTTTCCTCCGTGTTTAAGCGGAACCCATGGGGAGAAGCTGGCAGCGACCTCTATGTGATGTAAATTTCCTATGAAATAACTTGCATGTAATGCACATACGTATACAATACCCCTTTACATTCTACTCTATATTATAAAATGGGTATACTTCAGAATGATAGTTTTAGACAGCTGAGGTCTGTGCACAAAGTGTCCAAAAAATACGAAAAATAAGATTCTGATTTTATAGAAGGCTATTTGTAAACCATTTGTAAGCCAACATGTGGCCTATGACCAATTCAGGGACCCAGGAACCTGACTTTATAGAGAGGCTATTTTTCGCATGGTTCTGATTTGTGGGCCCACAGGTCATGATTTTATAGAGGGGAGATGAGGGGAGGTTTTTGAGACAAATTTGGTGTTGTAAGCAATCGCCGCATCCCGTTTATTCCCCAAACAGTGTGTCCACAGTAAAGGCCGGTGCTTGATCAGGGTGCTCACTCTGGGCTGCGGCATTTTTCCTGTAAATTTCCGTATAAAGTGGCTCTTCTGATGTCTCTTGTGACATGTGGACATGGATTTCGACTGCGCAGGCTCACGCAAAATGTGCGTCTGCGTTCCGGGCTCAATCTGGGGCGCGGCATTTTTCCTCTGAATTTCCTGATAAAGTGGCTCTTGTGAAATCTTGACATGCGTTTCGCCTGCGCAGGCTCGCACAAAATGTGTGTCTGCGTTCTGGGCTCAATCTGGGTCGCGGCATTGTTTTCTGTAAATTTCCGTAAAAAGTGGCTCTTCTGAAATGCTGCCCGGCATTTCAATTGCGCAGGGCCAGGGAGCCGCAACATTACCATCCCTGTCATCATCCTCCTCAACATTATCCTCCTCAACATCATCATCTTCCTCTCTCTCTCTCTCTACATCATCATCCTCCACCGCTTCATCCTCCACTTCATCTTCCGCATTATCATCCTCATCATCATCCTCACCATCACCATCACTATCATCAGCAGCAGCAGCAACATCATCATTTTCCTCCTCAACATCATCATCTTCCTCCTTCTCTACATCATGATCCTCCATCCTTTCAACCTCCACGTCATCTTTCGCACTATCATCCTCATAACCTCATCGTCACCATCACCATCACCATCATCACCACCATCCTCGTCATCATCATCATCATCATCGTCATCATCATCGTCATCATCGTCATCATCATCCTCATCGTCATCATCATCATCATCATCCTCATCCTCACCATCATCCTCACCATCATCCTCACCATCATCCTCACCATCAACACCAACATCAACATCAACATCATGATCATCATGATCATCATCATCATCATCACCATCAACATCATCGCCGTCATCATCATCATCATCATCAGCATCAGCAGCATAATCATCCGCATTATCATGCATTGTCCCCCCACTCTCCCACACTGTTTGGGGTCTCTTGCCGGCATATTTTTTTTAAATCAAAACCCAATGGGAATGGGTTTGACAAGCTGCCAATGCAGCATCTGACTACAGTAATATGATAGTTATTGAGGTTTCGGGCAGCACTTGAACCACATCTTAGAGATTGTGATGATATATGATGTAGAGAGAGAGAGATATATATATATATGGATAGATAGAGAGGATTTCAGGTTAGTTTGAGACTGAGACTGTTTCAAATACCTCTTGGGAGCCTTTCCCAAAAGAACAGAACTTTACAGTTTTCCATTGTTCTTAGTTTTTGAAGGTTGGGCCTTTGGAGGCGGTCTCTAGAAAATCAAAAAAATTAAACAGTTCCAGAAACTAGACTCTGTGCATATATTTTCCGCCTCCCTGCGTCCTATTCAAACTCCGTCGGTACATGCCTCAAACATCCTTTCTTCCATATCGTGCGACACAACAGGATTTCAAAATGGAAAAATCAGGTTTGAATGACCCCCAAATAAAAACTATAATTTGTCGATTTTATAGAGAGGTTTTGTTTCAGCACTGCGCGTGTTGAGGTTGCCTTTAGACAACTGCTTGAAAGTGGGACGGATTGGGGATGATTTGGAAATCAGAACGGGGGGTTTGTCGGTCAATATGGATAAAATCAGAAAGTTCCAGAAGCTGGGTTCTGTTCATATGTTTCAGACCAGGACTCCAAAATGGAATATTTCATAATATTTCAAGTTTGAAGGACCTCCGAGTAGAGACTGATTTGTCGACTTTATAGAGAGGTTTTGCTTCAGCACTGCGCGTGTCGACGTTGCCTTCCACAGCTTGAAATTGGGACGGATTGGAGGTGATTCGCAAATCAGAGGTGGTACCTACATGCATGTACTCGGCTTCAATATGCACCCATTGTCTCTATAAAACCAAAAAGTTCCAGAAACTGGGCTCTGTTGGTGTGTTTCCGGCCTCCTTGCCCTCTAAATTCCAAAATTTGGTCACTACATGCCTCAAACATCTTTGCCCTTTTCCACATCGCGACAGAGCAGGACTCCAAAATGGAACATCTCAGGTTTGAAGGGCCACCAAAGAGATTGCTTCAACACTGCGCGTGTTGAAGTTGCCTTTCCACAGATGATTCAGAAATCATTTGGTGGTACTAAGTGCATGTACTCGGCGTCAATATGGACCAAATCTCTCTCTCTCTCTCCCCCCTCTTTCTGAGATTACAGAGTGTAACCTCCCTGCTCACGAAACTCCAAAATTGGGTCATTACAGGCTTCAAACATCTTAAAACCTTTCCGTATAGTGAGGCACAGCAGTACTCCAAAATGGCAGATTCAGGTTTGAAGGGCCCCCAATTAGGGATTAATTTTTCGATTTCATCGAGATGTTTTGCTTCAACAATCCCGGTGCCAAAAAGTATCCCAAAGTGGCAATTGTGTTCCACCTTTTTTTCATTCATTTTTGTTCTTAGATTCTGATATCTTTTTGAATTGAACCTGATTCAGCAAATTATGGGAATTGAAAACAATTTTATTGTGGACACCATTTTTTAGTGGAAACCATTTTATTACTATAAAACGACTGGCAAGACCCCCCCCGGTGTATGTTCATAGGGATGGAGGCACGCTCATCCCACAAAGAAACCGTTCTATAAAATCAATCACCCAGGTCCAGCTTCTATTGACATCCCTTTCAAACAGCTCCACTGTAAAATCAGAGGTAGGCACCCCAATATTGAAGGTCCACATGTTTCAAAAGACTTTGTAAAACCACCATTTTGGAAATCCTGATTTTAGACCAGGTGGATGACTTTAAGGGGAAAAAGGTGTTCCAACTCTAACACACTCCCTAGATTTTATAGAGATTTGGTTTTTACAAGCAGGCATTTGTAACCATGTGGTGCTCTGTTTTTTCTTGAATTTATAGAGCCGTATTTCTTGCAATCTGATTTAATTTTGTCCTGAGTTTAGAGTGATTTTCAGAATGTACCCTTATACTGGAACAGTACCTCTATAGAATGGGGTACACTGGGTGACTGTTGAAATTCACAAGGGGATCGTATTGATATAATATACTGTATATATATATAATCAATCTTGCACCCGGACACAAATCTACAAACACTTCAAGGAAGTACTGTATCAGAGGGCAATAGAGTGCATTTACATGCATTATATGCATGCCCTGCAACCGTTTCCTCCCATATCCTCGAAGTATTTGATGCAGGAGTCACAGATGTTCCAGCCAGCCGAAGCGCTGGCACTGGCATCTCGAAAACCTGCAGTGAGAGAGGAGGCCAGAAATGGCCAGAAATGGCCAGAATATCGTTGAAAACATATATACCATATGAAAAAATATTGAATGTTGTGACAAAATGTGACAAATATCTAGCTTCGAACATCTTTGAAGCCATGTTCAACATGTTCCAGACTTAGCAAGACTGGAACTGAGTCCTCCAGAGCACGTGTATGTCTTGAGTCTTGATTAGGGAAAACATACTGTCTACTGTAATAGAATCCAAAAGCTACATGAGTTTTGACACACCGTTTAAAATTGTTTGAGCACGTTCCAGCACCTTTTCCCTGCCAGGGGCAGCTGCTGGAACTTTCGCCTGTCGCTTGTTTGCATAGAGCTGCAATGAGCTGCAACTAGTCCACGCTCAATGGATACGAATGCTCTAATAGGTCCGTTATCTTGGTTTTCTGGCAATCAATCAAGTATTGACAGGTATCATTCTTTTTTGCTTGACGTAGGGATACTTGGCCCCTCACGGGCGACAAAGGTCCATGCGTTTTTCCTTACATTTTTTTGTTCTCCTGTCCTTGGCACTGACTAGTTTTGTCTTCTCTTGTCATGTCTTGTTTTGTCCCATTTTGTCCCTGTGAGGCCCGCCTTCTGTCAGATGTTTGGGAAGAAAGGCCAGGCTGTGAGATTTGACAGCACCAACGATTGTAACGATGATGTTCTCTATTGTTCTCACAGAGTTCTCTAAGAGTCTCCGCTGCTGCAACACGTGGCAACACAAATCTGTTTTCTCTGCCACCAGGCAGATGACATGCAATATACTGAGGAACGACAAAGAGGGACACACGGGGACATGCAGATACAAATACACACATACATTTAAACCCTTTAATATCCTTTAATAATGGTGGCTACATTCAGATACATTCATTATTATGTTGTAGAAGATGTCAAATCTCTGAGCGGACGTACGGCAATTCTTTGATCGAAGGCCACTTTCCCGGCGCGGCTCCAAACTGTGAGAAGTTTCACGCCGCCATAAGAAGCTCTGGTGCCAAAGAAGCAGAGACAAAAAGACTCCAACTGGTTGATGAGCCGAGGCAGCCGAGGCACTGCAGGATTTATGTAGGAATCGTTCGAAAAGAATGTTGCTCATGGTGTGACTTTGCTGCGCAACATGGATTCTTCATGGCCTCTCAATAAAAACACGTGGAACAGTGGAACACGTGGAAACACTTGGGCGCAGAGTCCTGGATGGCATTGCCAGGATGAGGAAGTGATCGACGTTTGAGTGACAGGAACCGTTTAGAACTGGAGTCGGTGAGTTGCCGCCCGCTGCATTGAACCAGTGCGAACTAGTGAGCTTTGCTTTGCGTTGGGACAGAATTGCATTTTGAGGTATCTTCATAATATTCATTTCCCACCTTTAGAATCCTTTAGATACGTCTAGCCGATTGAACCTATGTTATCCTTTCCTTCAATCTTCTAGGGCATTTTTAATCTTATTTCGGAGTTGATGCTTGTTCCAATGATGTTCGATCTATACAGGGCATTTCGATGCATTTCGTGTCATCCTTCCCACACAATTTGAAGGTGGCCATCCCAGATGCTGCGAGATGTGGTCTGGTTTAAATCCAGCACCGCGAGAAGAACACTGTGTGTGTTCGCAAAGAGAAAACGCCATGGGCAAAAGTGTCTTTGTGCGTGCGCATTTTGGAATACTGAAAAGGGTTGAAAGATTGACACCACAGTGGAAATTAAATGAAATAAACATGATTCGGCGTCTCCACAATTGCCTTACTTAACCTTTGTATACCTTTATTATTTGTCCAGTATATATAGGTTGTTTCGCTAAATTCTCAACCGAGGAAGCCATGGATTTCTGTCACATTTATTATCGCTCAAAAGATTAGTCGCTCATAAGCCATGCGAACTTTGGGTACAGAATCTGACAGATTCCACTGGAATTTATGCACCTTTGATATCCTTTGATCGTCTTAGTCTAGTTTTCTGTGATTCCAGAAAGATCTTGTGAGGCGATGCAACATTGGTTGGCACAGTAGCAATTGCCTCGAAAGGTGTTGAACCGTTGAACTGTCGTAAGCAGTGTGCATTCAAAATCATTCGATATCATTCGATATCATGATCCAAGTGGGGATAGGTCACAAGTTGAGTTGCCATTTGAGTTCAAGCAATCTGAAAGGGGGCCACTTGTTGGCAGTGCTCTTACTTTGCAAACGAGAAAATCCTTGACTGTGGATATCTAAATCTCTCATTAGTTCCGCGAGTGTTCCTCATACTTGCAGAACTAGATCATGTCAGATTGCTTGCAGGCCGAGGTTCTGCCAAAGGAACGTATTTCATTTAATGTGAGATTCAACCCAGACAGATCATGTCAGCTGCCCTTGCTTTTCCACGTCCTTATCAGCCAGAAAGTCCCCTGTGGCAGTGTGGCAAGTTGATGGAGGCACCAGATCTCTTTGGATTTCTATCACCTTCGATTTGCTAGCAGATGCTAGCAGTATTTGAATAGATTCGAATACTTCCATGATCTTCATTGATCTTCCATGTTCATCAGAGTCAAGTCCTCGGGTTCGCAGATTGATCAAAATCGACAGAAGGCTCCAGCGACGCTTCATGGAGTTCCAGATGCTCTCCAGAGCTGGTGGCACCGTCAGACCCTGAATGATTGAAGAACATTTAGTAGCTGCTTGATGCTGCTTGTTTGATTGCTCGAACATGCTCGAACTGAAGATTTGTATGTTTGCAGATGATTGCAGACGTTCGCATAGACTTTTTGTTTTTTGACATTTTTTGCTTCTCAATGCCTTTCAGGTGTCTTGGGATAGTGCGCTGAAGAGTTTAGATTTTTATTCTAGCGAACCAGGTGTTGATCCAGAAGAATTTGACCGAGTGCGGGGCCACTGACTACAAGTATCAGTTGGAGCACTGTTGGGGCGATGCAAGAGTTGTCTCGATTTTTCTCGACCGGTGCCCCGTTTGCATTTTCTAAGTGGCGCTAGTTTCACCCAGGTCTCAAGAGCGTCAGGGCGACGAGAGGTCACAAGACTGAGACATACTGAGACATACTGAGAACAGTGGTTTCGCACAGCTGAAATCTAGTGATATCTAGTGATACATTATCAGGATACATCAGGATGCGATCAGTATGTTCACTCTCCTGGTTTTGCGTTTCGGGAATGGCAGGTGTTGAGACATGTCGCGTTTCTCTTACGTTCAAGCCCGGGGCTGTGTGTACGATGCTATGATCGAAGGAAGTTTAGAAGTCAAACTTCCGGCAATATGGACAGATGGAAAAAGCGGAGGTGGGAAAAGGCAGAGAAGAGAAAGAGTCAGAAGAGAAAGAGACAGAAGAAAGAAAATCCAGGTGCAAGAAAAGGTAGGAAAGTCGCGAAACACTGTGTTGTTCCATGTTTTTCGAATGTTTTGTGGCTCCGGAGGGTTGCAGTAGGCTCGCTAAAGCGGCGGGTGCGGAGCCATCTGGTCTGCTGAGAGATCAAATGCATGCCGTTGTGGCGCGAAGCAGATTTCGAAGTCAAAATGGCCAACAACACTTCATTCTCGGGGCACTTTTTGCACGCCGCTGTGGCGTGAAGCAGCTCCTAGCGCAGAAAGTGCAAGCCACAGCATGGCATGCGAACACCAGTAGAATCATGTCGCTCGATTCATGGACAGCCCCTGGACTCAATTGTGCAAAGATCTTTCCTCATGGACTCAACGTACATTGGATGGAACAGTGGACATGCGCAGTGAACATGACCAGATTCAAATCCAGAAGTGCAAAGCGTGTAATTACACGGGCAGTTGCCCCAGATTCAAATCCATTGAAAATCAGGCATACCATCAAAATCTGGCTATTCAATCCAACATTCTGACGCTCTCCTGCGAAGACACCTGGTTGAACAACTTCGTGATTAACTCCTCTTTGATACCACCACCTGGTAACCCAATTTCCTCTGCCATCCTCTTCAATTCCAACACATGCAATTCTCCCAACTTCCGACGCAGACGGGCAGGTCCACCCTCCGCTACAACACACTGCAAGTCAAACACCGGCTCAATGCATTTGAACTTTGTCAGCAATGCGTCAGCCATATCCTTGTTGCGCATTTCATTTGAAAGAGGAACATTCAAACTCACACCGATCTCCATCAATTGCGGCTTGTTCAAAGAACCCAAACGCCGCGCCAACCATATAGCGCCATGGGGACGCAAACCTTCTTGCAACGGCTTTCGCAGTCGCAAACCCTGTCGCAACTGTTGAAGCTGCTCCAGTCTCACGGACAGTCCCTTCAGAAAATGAAACAGTAACCACAATGCTTTCAAAAGTGTCACGGGTGCGCAACTTGAACCAAACATTTTGCAAGCAGTTAATGCTCACTAGCAAGCATGTTCACCGACAATCCTTGTCATTTCCATGTTGTCCACCAAAAACAAAAGCCGCAACACTGTGCACAGCTACTAGCAACTCCACTGCAATCCCCTTTCACCCCATGCAAGACAAACAAAGTTTCACCAATGGACATCGTGAATGCCATCATCACCCTCACTTCAACTAAAGCAACCGAGCTCCACACATTCCTAGCGCGGGTGCTATCAATCATCCATCCTCAGCCGATGCCAACTGGGTACCATTATACTGTGAATAATTCCATAAAACTTTACAAAAGTTCGGTATTATCATGCTAAACACAAATCAATCCTTGCAGTCACGTGCCACCTCAACAGAAACTAGAACTCAATTTTCAATGCAGCCGTTCCATGTCCACGGACAGCCCCTACAGAACATGGAACAATCACAAAACACAATCTCCAAAGAATGAACGCAAGACCATATCCACAGAAGAAAGATGTCGACAATATTGTTTTGAATGCATCTCTGCATCCACTCCAAAATCGCAATTTTACCTCAATTTGTAACGTCCAACGTCCATTTCGTGCGAAAGGGTTGCAGGGGGCACCTCAAAATCGCAATATTACCTCAGTTTTTGACGTTCAACATCCATTTCGTGCGAAAGGGTTGCGGCGGACTAACTAAAATCGCAATTTTACCTTAGTTTTTGACGTTCAACGTCCATTTCGTGCGAAAGGGTTGCGGCTGACACCTCATAATCACAATTTTACCTAGGTTTTGGGCGTCCGATGTGCACGAAATGCTGTGCCTGTCACGTTTCGTGGTGCTCCGGCGGCACCGCCCCCGCCTTAAGAGAGAGATAGAAAGAAGAGCGTGAGAAAGAAAGGAAGAGAGAGAGAGAAGACCTGCAGATGTGAAGGTGCGAGGAAGTAGATCTGCAGATGTAAAGGTGTGAAGATGTAGATCTGCAGATGTGAAGGTGTGAAGATGTAGATCAGCAGATGTGAAGGTGTGAAGATGTAGATCTGCAGATGTGAAGGTGTGAAGATGTAGATCAGAAGATGTGAAGGTGTGAAGATGTAGATCAGAAGATGTGAAGGTGTGAAGATGTAGATCAGCAAATGTGAGGGTGTGAAGATGTAGATCTGCAGATGTGAAGGTGTGAAGATGTAGATCTGCAGATGTGAAGGTGTGACGATGTAGATCTGCAGATGTGAAAGTGTGAAGATGTAGATCTGCAGATGTGAAGGTGTGAAGATGTAGATCTGCAGATGTGAGGGTGTGAAGATGTAGATCTGCAGATGTGAAAGTGTGAAGATGTATATCTGCAGATGTATTGCAACGGCTGCTTTTTTACGAAGAACTCTTCGCAGGCGCTCTCGGGTTTTATCAACCAATCTGTAGTGACTTGGTTTTTAAAAACTGCCCATTCAGTTTTGGCCAAGAAAATTATAAACCAAACTGTAGACTTTGTCGGTGGCTTGGTGCTGGGTTCCAATCAATTTATAGTGACTTTGTGTTCTCAAAGTGCCAAATGTTGATTTCCAAGAAATTTTCAAAACCAATCTGTAGTCATTTTTGGTGTTCGGTGTTGATTCCCAAGAAAATTAAAGAACCAATCTGTAGCGACTTTGTTTTTTTAAAAAGTGCCCGATCAGTTTTGGCCAAGAAAATTATAAAGCAAACTGTAGACTTTGTCGGTGGCCTGGTGCTGATTTCCAAGAAATTTTCCATACAGATTGAGCCTTACAGAATGGTTTTGTTTTTT